AGTATGGGGACGTGTGTTGCCATGCAAAAGCAACATGCCTTTGGTGAGGAGTCCTGGTCGCTTCCATTGAATGGCCTTACGAAGTTTCCTGAGGATGTTACAGTAGGAGTCGGCATTTACGGTTTGTCCTTGAGGCTGGAATGCTGTGAGCAGTATGCCTTCGTGACCCCAGTCACCGCCTGGTTCCAACAGCATCCCAAAGAATTTTATGCTGCTGGTTTTCAGGGGCTTATGAAACGATGGGACAAGTGCCTCAATGTACAGGGAGATTATGTTGAGAAATAAAAGCATTTTTCAGATCAGTACTCTTATTTGTTTAAGTTTTGTATCCATTTGTAACTCACTTATTGACTTACCTATGTATTTCTAATAACTTTATGTTTTTAATCATTATTGTATTCTAATAATTGTATGAATGAATGTATGAGAGGTGGGCCATAATAATCCAGACCTTGCACTGCTACCATGAATGATCTGTTGTGCTTCCCCTTTGATTAGCCCTATATTAATCCTGCACCTTGAATGAAATTTAGGACTTTGTGTGTGAGGGTGTCATAGTAGTCATTTGGTTCCATAAGGAACTGGCCCAGGTGACAAAATAAACTATGGCCTCACAATCACATAGGATATGTGTGGCTGATTCATCTTCTTCTAGGCACTTTTCACAAGTGGGGTCATCTGTCAATCCCAGTTTGAAAAGGTGTCCTTTTAGGTGACAGTGTCTTGTAAATAGTCCTGCCACCCATCTTAATTGGTCTCTGTTTAACTTCAATAGATGGTTTGTTCTTCTTATAGAGGGCCCTGGTATAAATCCTTTGCCTGTTTGAGTCCAGTTGTGGATTCCAAATGTTTTTTATGATTTCTGTTATCCAGTCCCTGACTGCTTTCTTGGCAACTCCAATTGAGATGCCGCAAGCTGGTTCAGGCCCTATGAATGGATGTTCAGATCCTGTTCTTGCCAGCTAATCTGCGGTTTCATTACCAACATTACACTCATTACCTGGCACCCATATTAGTTGAACTTGGTCTTGGAACCATCTGTATACCAGATTAGTCCCCCCTTTCTGTCGGCTTGAAACCCCATTTTCCATTCCCTTCTGACAGGGAATGTGATCATGAAGGGTTCGTATCATTTTAACAGGCCCCATCTGTAGGATGGATTCTTTTTTCATGTCCCGAATCATGTATGCATGTTCGGAACCTTTGAATTTTGGTTTCCATTGATCATTGCAGCTTCGGATAATTGTATAATGTGAAGTGACATAATGTTATATTTTAGCATCCTGTTGCACTGATTTATGTCCATGATTTATTCTGACCGTCTTACAGTGCATACATTTATTCACCTTACTCTTCTCTCTTGCACTACATGTTTCGGCACTAAAGTGCCATCTTCAGGTGCTTTTCGATGTACGTCAAACTACTGCATTGCATGCCCTGTTGTCTTTATACTAAAATAACTAAAATATATATTCGTCATATATATTGCTAAATTTTAAATATTAAAAATGTTAAAACTGTTCAGGATTTGTCATCCTTATGTCGTATTTCAGTATGCGAGTCACATCTATCTTCTTCTGTCGGAGTATTCTTCCTACTTTCATGTGTATTGTGCTTTGTGTTGCGTCTTACTCCTGTGACTGCGTGTGTTATACTACTGGGCCTGCTGGGTATGTGCCAGCAGGTGTGTGTAAGGTGAATAAATGTATGCACTGTAAGACGGTCAGAATAAATCATGGACGTGAAGTGACATGTCCAGTATCAATTTATTTGATCTACAGGATGAATAAAGATGAACAAAAGAACATTGTGTACACAGCACCATGAACTGTGCTGCCTCTTCCAGGGGTTGTAAATGAATTTAAATGTAAAATACGAGTATACCAATGTAATGTTTGTTGTGACACTTGATATCTTTTTCATGATGTATATTATAATGTTGACACTACGAGTGGGCTTGAGGATGCAGATGTTGGCACCATTGGACCCTCAACATGGATGATCATTGTTCATAATGGAGAATAATTGACTGTAGTTTCAATAGTTCAGTATGCAGACAGTATGTATACTGAAGGATGTGTTGCCTGAACTACAGGTGTGAGCAGAGTGTGTTTTACTCACTGCAGTAGGAATGTATGTATATCATTTCTAATATCTAATATATTATGGCATGTCTGCTGAAAGCCAGAATTGTGAAGCCAGCAGAGACAGCCATTGCTAGGGAATCGCTCTGCAAACAGTGGCCATTATTAGGCAGTGGCTCAGTAGCAATCATGTCACCTGAACAGGGACAAATGCAACAAAGGAACACAGCTTTCTATACACAGTCTGTGCTGGGGCTATTTAACAAAAACCAGCTGCCACTACCAGTTCACCCCTGCATGGAGGCAGGTTTGAATACCTCCACTGTAGCCCTGCGAGTTGTAGGAGGCAGTGATAAAACCCAGTCCCTGGGGGTGCAACTGGGTGACCCTGTTCATGGGGGATATTATATGGGGGCCTGGCCCTCCGAGTTGGTGGAGTCTTGAATCTGAGGCAGTAAAATCTGGTCATGAGTTCTGCGATTCTCTGACCCAAGAGTGACTGCGCTGGCAAGGACCAGCAGCAGTTGTAAATGACAGACCCTTCCTGTCATCAGAGAGGTTGCACCACATCAACAAACCTGCAACTGTCTGACAGTAATAAAAATCTGGTCTTGGCCCCCAGATGGGTGCTTGACACCAAGACAGACTGGCTGACTGACCATCGGTCATAACATAACTTTGACTTTGACATGACTACTATTACAGTAGGGGAGCACGCGGTAGCGTAGTGGTTAAGGCACTATGCTACAAGTCGGAAGGTCGTGGGTTCAAATACCGATGAGGTCATTGGATTTTTTCAGTTGACCGCACTATGGACCTGGGGTTCACTCAGCCTCTAACAGAAATGATTACCAGGAATTAAATAAATAATTTTCCTGGGGAGTAAAGCGCGGCCGGCGCATAAGGCTGACAACCTTACCGCAATCTTTGAGCCGACTGTCTAGATAATGTGGGACCCTCAACGTCTCACAACCCTATGGGCCTTCATGGCCTGTTACAGGGATAGCTTTACTTTACTTTACTTACTATCACAGTAAGGGTATAGAAGAGTCCAGAGATTGCAGTTAGAAAAGTGTGAGTTTGGTGTGAGATGGTCCCTGCCTGGGAGTCAGTTCAAGTAGAGTCTGAGTCAACAGTCATTTAGTTGAGAGAGGGTCTGCAGGTAGACCGTCTGTCGAGAGTTGCAGAAGCTGGTAGCTGAAGCTGGAGACAATTTAGGGACCCAGAGGAAGGGGTATGTTCATTGTTGGTACCCAGTGTCAAGCAGTGCAATGAAGACCGTGACTGAGAAAACTAGTCTGTGTGTGATAGTGATTTGTAAAGTGTAGTCACTAGTTGTTCAGTAAATCTGATTACCAATACAAACCCAGTCTTCAGTCACGGGACAATATTAGTGATGTGCCAGAAATTGGATTTTTCCCCACACATAATTACTGTCTTAGTTATACAAGTATGAAGTTTTTAGTGGTGTGTTCAGTTGTTGTTGATCATGATGAACCTCTTTTAGCAGACAGACCCTGATGTGAATCAATGATAACAGATAAAGGAGAGGTGATGGTATGCAACTCTTTAATTATGTAAATTTAAAGATATTGAGTTACTTATGGAATAAATAATATTGAATTGTGGAATATTAAATTATTCTTGGATGGTAATAAGCTTCCAGCTTGGTTTATTTCACTTGACAGAATTATTAGAAAAGTTTGGAAAACATTCATGGATTTGTAGTGGTTTAAACAATTTAAAATGCAGATGAATATGCAAATTAAGAATATTTGTAAGGTGGAAAGGTTTTGAGGAATTTGAGTAGATGTGTCTAATAATGGCCAATTCTGAATAGCTACAACCGAACCTGAATAAATGCATCACCTTTTAGAGCAGAGTTACCAGAGCAAAAGTAGGCAAATAGTAGGACAGATTTTGAGCCATGTCTATGGGTAAACAGTGGTACAGCCTAATTTCCCATATAAAGTAAAGAAACCTATTGAAGTAAAACTAACCTAATTCACAAAATCAAAATGGGGGCTGTGCATAGTTATGTCATGTTTCTGTGTCTGCAGGCTCCTCCCTGTCAGTGCACTGCTGCTGCCTTCAGCACTTACTGCACTGTAACGTTGTGGTTGCATTATTGCATACCATTTCATGTATTTCATTAGTCATGGTGTTCATTTATTACTGATATGAACTTATTCTCACTAAGCTAATCATGTGACAGATATGATGTTACCCAATCAAGAATTACTCTTCTTTGGATTTGGTTAATAATCAGACATATATATTGAAAGAATACTTCAAAGTAAAGCTGGTCATATATGACAAACCTTCCCCCCTCCCCCCTGATGAAGAGAATTCATGGAGTTCAGTTTCAGCTTCATGTATAGTAGGAATTGTATGGACCAATATAAAATGAAATTTAAACTTTTCTGGAAACTCTCAATGTAACCCCCTCCCCATTCAAAATATTGTTAAAATCAATTCTGCAATTCCAAAGATCAGACAGGCATGTCCTTTCAATTATGCATTTGTCATGCATTTCATGTAAAGAATACTTAGAGTAGGTATCTAGATTATTTTCTATCACCTGGTCTCAATCTTACAGTGTTACACAGAAACTAGGCTTTGTCTGAAATTCATGAAGTATCTGGATAGTGTTTTGTTACATGCATGGCCTCACTTTGCAGTTAATAGGATAGCTGAAATTAGTTTCAAACTGAATGAGCAAACAGGCACACATACATAGAATGCACATCTCATTTTAAGTATTTCAGTTGAATTGATGCCATTGCATCCTCATCCCCCACTCTTAATAATTCAGTATTATCTGTTGTTACTCTCCTCAGCTTTCACTTCCCAATAAAACTCTGGCTCTTTTTTAGATTATGTGAACTGAAGGGCAAACATCTTCTGATCTTTCAGGGTGGGCTGGCATCCATCACAAGAGGGCAACCTCTTGAGATTGCGCATGGTTCACAGATAACTTTGCGACACTCACATGGCCGCACATGTTGGCTGCATTCACATGCCCATGTGTACCCAATACGATATCCTGACAAGCGAGGCAGTTCACACCAGCAGCAGGTGACCTGCTATTCCTTCAAGGACGTCAATAATTGGTGGATTGTGAAGCGGCCACAGCGCAATGACTTGGTGGTATCGCAGCCTGTGGATGCTATCCGTCATGGGGATGTGATACAGCTTGTGCATGGAATGACCAGCCGTGCACTGAACTCACATGATGTTGCAGCTGCCATGTCTCCACAAAACCAGGTGAGAATTTTGAAGACAGTTCTCATGGATCTGATTTCGTTGTCATCATGGAACTGCTGGCCACCAAGGAAAGTTTTCAGATACAGGAACACATGAAAAGCACTTAGGGGCGATGATCGAATTGTTCCCAGCAAATTGTCATAAAGAGGCCTTGCGTTGCAGCGGCAGTGTGTGGGCAAGCATTGTCATGAAGCATCACAACAACCTAAGTAAGCGTGCCACATCATTTGTTCTGGATCGAATGATGCAATTTCTTAAATGGGTTGCAGTGGACACCTGCATTGATTAATGAGCCTTGAGGGAAGAATTCCACAAGCAGAACACAGTTTTTGTCCCAAAACACTGTGCACATGATCTTGTAAGTTGAATTTTTCTGAAGAAAGCAGTCTTCTGGGATTTGGTACCATGTATATGTGGTGTTAACCGACGTTTCAGAGGAACGTATCGCCTCCATCTTCAGGGTAGAGGGAAAAATATAAGAAATCCGCAAGCAAAGAGACCGTGAGAACCGGTAAAAGCAGACTGGTGTTGGAAATATACACAGCTATGTGAGAGCAGAGAAGGAAGGGGGGAAGGGCAAGTATACAAGTGAAAACAATAGTGCGGGAGGGGGAGAAGGAGCTGGGACAAGCTGGGTTTTTTGTGTTGGGGAAGAGAAAGGCAAGGTTAAAGGTTGGGCTTCAGTATGTAACTTCTTTCCCAATGATAAAATACGTGGAAAATAATTATAATTATAATTTGTTGCGGAACCGCGTGTTATTTGAAGAGCTGTATTACATTTTGGGTTGCATAGAAAACAAGTCACGTGATAGCTATCTCGCAAGTCCATTGGTGCGCTGATTGTTGCCTAGCAACGAGCTATAAACATTCGACCTACTGCTGCGTGACCTTAAGCGAGAAGTGCATCGCGCCGTTGCCTAGCCATACACGANGCCAACATAGGAAAGGAAGGCGACTGAGCCCGGTTTGTCTTCAGGCCGGCTGATGTTGGGCCGACGGTTGAGAACTCTGGGGATCTGCCGGTTGTTGTATCCGTTCTTCTTGAATACATCCTTCAGGAGCACCAACTCCGTATGTAGGCTGTCTTGATCACACAGTGCTCTAGCCCTGTGCACCAATGGTGAAAGTGCAGCTTGCATGTTGGAAGGGTGGTGGTGGGACGCAGCGTTAAGATACAGGTTTGTATGGGTGGATTTGCGGTACACTCTATGGCCCAGGGAACCATCGGGTCTCCTGTAAATATCTCTATCCAGGAAGGGGAGGTGGCCTTCAGTTTCAGTTTCCATTGTGAACTGGATGCACTGCTGGATACTATTTAGGTGGTTCAGGAAGTCCTTAAGCTTGTCGGGCCCATGTGGCCAGATGACAAAGGTGTTGTCCATGTAGCGAAACCAGCAGCGGGGCTTGTGTGGGGCCAAGTCAAGTGCCCTCTCCTCGAAGTCCTCCATATAGAGGTTAGAGATGACTGGAGAAAGTGGCGAGCCCATCGCCACACCATCGGTTTGTTCATAGAACTGGCCATTGAAGTTGAAGTATGAGGTGGTCAGGATATGGCGGAAGAGTCTCAAGATGTTTTCTTCGAAATGTCCTCCTAGCAGATCCATCATATCCTTTATAGGCACCCTGGTGAAGAGTGACACTACATCGAAACTGGCCATTATGTCATGGGGATCAACATGGAGAGAGTCCAATGTGTGAACAAATTCCATGGAATTCCTTACGTGGTGTGAACCGTTGCCAGTGTATGTGCTTAGTAGTCCAGCCAAGTGTTTGGCCAGGCGATAGGTGGGAGAGCCAATGGTGCTCACAGTGGGCCTTAGTGGAACGTCAGGCTTGTGGATTTTTGGCAACCCGTAGAGTCTAGGTGGCCTGGAGCCTTGAGGTCGTAGCTGTTGGCAGACCTCCTCAGCAGTCGGGAACTTTTTCAGGAGAAGAACAGTCTTGCGCTCTATGGTATCGGTAGGATCCTTCTTCAACTTCCTGTAGGCCTTATCCTCCAAGAGAGCAGCAATCTTTCGGTTGTAGTCAGACGTATCCAGTACCACGGCCGCATTACCCTTGTCAGCCGGAAGGACGGTGAGCGCCTCATTGGCTTTTAAGGACCGAAGGGCTCTTCTCTTGGCACCAGTCAGATTGTCCTTTGGCTTGCGGGAGTTCTTCAGAATCCTGACCGTCTCCTGTCGGATCTCCTCCACAGTCTCTACAGGCAGGGCCACTATCACTTTCTCCACCCCGCACAGGATATCCTTGATGGGAACAGACTTCGGAGCCACAGCAAAGTTGAGGCCCTTGCTCAGGGCCGAGAAAGCCACTTCATCCAATGGCACATCACTCAGGTTGATCACTGTCTTCTTGCTGTCAGGTGGGTCGGATCGGTGCTGGGCCTCATGCAAATGTTGAAACTTCTTGCAGTGCCTGGCTCTTATGTCATCAGCGATGCATAGAGCCTTCTCACTAGTGATGCGATCGATCAGGTCCCAGTCATCGGCTGACAAGTCCTGGGTCAAGTGCAGGTGTAATTTAAACAGTTCTCTGGATACAACATCCAGCTCCCGCCTGGTGTGGTGGATGCGTTCACGGAGCAAACAGAAGCTCGTGCATCTGTAGATTCTGTCGGCAGTGTCAGAATTTATATGGTGTTTGAACTGAAGGAAACAAGGGATGGTGTTTTGGTCTCTGCATCTAAGAGGGAAGGAAAGGGTACAGAGTAGTTTAGTCTTCTTGGTTCGTAGCGTCTTGAGTCATCGAATGTGTCGTTGAATAGCCTCCACAAAGAGGAACACTATGTAAGATTTGAGGCTTTCATGGCAGTGACTATGAAGAAAGCAGTCTTTTGGGATTTGGCACCGTGTATATGTGGTGTTAACCGACGTTTCGGAGGAACGTATCGCCTCCATCTTCAGGGTAGGAGGAAAAATATAAGAAATCTGCAAGCAAAGAGACCGTGAGAACCGGTAAAAGCAGACTTCTACCCTGAAGATGGAGGCGATACGTTCCTCCGAAACGTCGGTTAACACCACATATACACGGTGCCAAATCCCAAAAGACTGCTTTCTTCATAGTCACTGCCATGAAAGCCTCAAATCTTACATAGTGTTCCTCTTTGTGGNAATTTTTCTGTTTGAATTTTCTCTTTATTGGCAATGATATGTACTTCCAGTCCATGGACTGCTGCTTCAATTCAGGGGTTATGCGCAACACACATGTCTCATCCCCTGTGACTATGCGGCTCAAGAAGTCATCGCCTTGCTCACTGTATTTTGTCAAAAAGGTCAATGCACTGACCTGATGTTTCATTTTATGTTCTTCCATAGGCATCTTTGGAACACAGTGTGAACACAGTTTCTGAAAACAAAGTTTATCAGACACAGTTTCATGAAGAAGTGAATGTGAAATTTGTGGAAAATGTAAGGAAAGTGACAAAGTGGTGACTTGTTCTCTTGAATCTTCTCTTTCACTGCATGCACCAAATCTTCATTAACCACAGATGATTGGCCACTCTGCGAATCATCATGCACATTCTTCCTTCATTAAAGTATCTCATCTGTCTCCACACCATTGAGTCACTTGTGGCACATTCTTCATACACCTCACAAAGTTTATGATGAATGTCAGCTGGTTTCATGTTTTTTGCGTTCAAGACATAGATTACAGACCGCGTTTCATGTGCGACAGGCTTCTCGATTTTCTGGAACATTCTAAACACACAGGACAGTGAGTAAACACAGTTTTATTATCTGCAAATGGCATCTGTGCCTTCCCAAAGGACCAACAAACTCTGCACGCATGTGCACCATTATGACTGCAGCGGCAATATTTGCAAACGGAACTTATTTTGTGGATATGCCTCATACTTTGAGTACTGATTGTGGAGAGATCTGTTGCCATTGTTTTGATTCACTGGCAAAGCAGTTCTACAGAGCTTCTTCATTGTACTGGATAGTGTTAGAGCATGGTCCTCTGCCAAGTGCCATTCTGAATACAGTTGTCATATGATCTTTAAAGGCTGATTCACTAGAATACATATTTGTAAGGTCATCTCTCCAGGTATGACCATGAATTCAGTATTCATATTCAGTGTATATGAACACAATGGCCACACAGTCTGAGGCATGAAATGTCTTTACCCACTCAAACATGGTTTTGAATGTTACTTGAGGCATGGATGTCTCTTTGAGTTTATTATTTGTTTATGTCATCCAGTGTAGGTAGTGGTCTTGCGACTGGCACATCCCTGTCCAAGGAATACTACCATTTGTTTATACGATTCATAATTTCAGAATTAATTCTGAATGGGGACAGGTCAGAGAGCCAAATCTGTCCAGGTAGGAGGTGGAGGAGATGATTATGATAATGATATATTTTACATTCAAATTTGTGATGACTGGTAGCTTTGCAACTCAAGAGGAGAAAAAATAATTGTCATCCATTTGGGCAGATATATTATCGATTCCTTTTGAAATCAGGCACTAGCATGTAAAGCAAAAGCAGTTGTCAGAAAATTCTTGAAGTTTGAGGGTGAAAAATGGAAATTGGAATTGAAATGGAGACCCCCCCCCCAATCTTAAAAATTCAAGGCTAGCACATCCCTAGNAGGTGGTGTGTTCAATATTGACACTTTGTACTGTACTTCATCAGAATATTACAGTTAAAGCAATTGCTGTTTCGGTAGGAGTGTAAGAATGAAGAAAAAAATTGGAAGAAAATGATATTTTTAATTTTCAGCTGAATTTCATTGATGTTTATGACCAAAGTTGTCAAAGACTGAGTGAAGTAGGCGTGAGGTACGAAGGGGGACCCAAAAATAACCGGAAACGACCTGTTGCGCGCGCATGCTTTGTAGTTACGAGTTGTGCTGCTAGGTGGTGTTAGCTGGGGGTCTCCCGCGACTGTTAGTGAGCTGGCGTCAGTCTGAGTTAAGTGGTTTGTCTGTGGTGCTCTGTTGTGTGCGTTCCTGTTTCAACCCTTTGGCGATTAGTGAGATGGCCGACCAGAAGGAACAAAGAGTGTGCGTGAAATTTTGCTTTCTGTTAGGGAAAACTGCACTTCACTCTTCAAGTCGCGGCAAACATTCACGCGGTTTTCTCTTTGGTCATCTCCGAGCAAGCGAGGAACAAATTTTGCAGACACCCGTCTCATGTGCAAACCTTCGGTTAAAATTCGCTGGACCGTGCTCCATGAGATGTTCGTTTCCTCAGAAAGTTGGTCAATGGTCTTTCGACGATCTTCATCAATTTCACGCACACTCTTTGTTCCTTCTGGTTGGCCATCTCACTAATCGCCAAAGGGTTGAAACAGGAACGCACACAACAGAGCACCACAGACAAACCACTTAACTCAGACTGACGCCAGCTCACTAACAGTCGCGGGAGACCCCCAGCTAACACCACCTAGCAGCACAACTGGTAACTACAAAGCATGCGCGCGCAACAGGTCGTTTCCGGTTATTTTTGGGTCCCCCCTCGTATGTGCAGAATTAATATAATTGGCTGAACTGTTCCAGAATCTTGTAACTTGCTAGAAATATTTATTTACAATTTTTGCAGGAGGTGAGCTGCTATATCGACTACAATGTCTCTATGCCAGCTCAGAACTTGTGGCGTGTTGACATCATCAATAGGGATCAGGTTGGAGACATCTGGCACACCATTGAATCACTTGTGAGCATTTTAAGAATGTATCTATTTTTATTGTGCATGCGTGCGTGAAGGCAGGATAACATAAAGTACATTACAGTATACTCTCAGTTGTCCATGGTAACTGAAAGTAGTGTGGATAATTAAAAACAGTAGTTGGAAATTCCCATTATCAACCCTGAAAACCACTTAATTATTACTTACTGGTCACTGATCTGTGAGACAGATTTCTTTCCATCAGAAAAAAGTGCCTTTTGTTCAGTGGTGCAGGGTGGCACATGAAATTACTCCCAATTTTAACTTTGCAGAGATACTGTAATTGTAAAGTAACAACACAGATCTGCATGTGTACATAAGCACAAAGCATGGAGATTTATCTGTAATGATGTGTATGTTCAGTGTGGTTGTTGTTCTGCTGTACAGTTTCCAAAAGATGAATTTATATGTCCATTACCACCCAGTGGCACACATCCTGCACAAACACCCAACACAGCTGCGTACAAAACTCCAAACTCCATCACTGATGCTATTTTTTTTTGGGGGGGGGGACAGTTTTCCTTTCATTATTCCCCAAAGAAGGAAATCACAGATTAAAGTTTGTGCTGCGGGGGGCCAAATTCTCATACATGCAGGATACCCACTAGAAATTACACTTGGGCCAAAGTATCATGGTAGAAGTCCAAGTTGATACTCACTGTGTATGGTGTGGTGCCATCTTGCATAAGCCTATGAATCATTAGCAAAGAGGTTGCAACAAGATGAGGTGTGACACTGTGACATCATTGATGTTCTGTTGCGGCATGAGGATACTTTTGCTCCAAAACTGAGATGTCATGTTGAAAGTGTATACTAAACAACTGGATGATATTCTGGGAAGGAGCCCACCATATTGTGAAATGAAACAGTTTTCACTCTCTGCTTGTTCCCTTGACTGTCTATTCCTTTGACTGCCATATCCACCATAGTGGAATGTCCATGAAGTAGACCAGTCACACTCATGATTCAAACTTCCCCCATAAACTTGCTGTTTCATGGTCTCTACTAGGTTAATGCAAAAAGCAGTAAAATATTAAAACATGCTTTATGTTGGAGATGGAATGGACTAACAAGCTCAAGCCTTGTAAGCGATGATGATGATGATGATGAATAAAAGAACAGAAGTTGCACCAGGTTGAGATGATGGATAGTCAAGTACAAGTCATTGTAAAATGTCACCGATACATATTACTGAAATAGATATAGTGGGAAGCACTTAAATTATTACACAAAACTATAATCAATAACATTGGAATTCTAGAAGTCCCTCATTTAATCTACAGAATGGGTAATCCACAGATGCATAACCACGATTTTACTGTACAGTGTTCTGAACACAATTTATAGTCTGTTTCATGTTGACAGGTCCGACTTGTACATGTCAACTCCAGCCAAGCACTCAAGTTCAGTGGTCGCCAGCTGCCTGACTGGGGTTTCAATCAACATGAGGTTGTGACTGATCGTATCCTTCATCAGGATGATACTGTTTGGAATGTGGAGGAGCATCGTTATACTAAAAGTTGGCAGGTTTTTCGTAATAAACCGAACTTATTCTGGCAATAGAACTCAAAGTCTGCCATTGGGCATGATCTTTAGCCAGTCCCATCTAACTCCCATCCTCATAAGCTGTTTCCTGAAGATTCATCTCAGAATTATCCTCTCTTTCATGGCTTGTCTGCATTGTTTGTCTGTCCCAATCCAAGTTCATGTGTTACCCATCATAACGTGGATTTCACTGCCTTTAGATGGTGACCTGTATAAATCATTGTGTTTCTTAGTGCAAGTACATAATACTTCAGTCCTTCTTAGAGCCTCTTCCTAAGCCCTTGTTTTTAAACTCTTCTAACTTATATTTAAATGGTTACATTCCATTTTATTAAGGAGATATAAATATACAGGGTCTGGACAAAATAATGGAAACACTACAGATATTGTACACATTATTTATTAATTTGCTGTTGGACCATCTTTTGCTTTCCATACAGCTGCAGTCCTTGGAATGGACTTGTACTAGTTCTGAACGGTCTCTAGCAGAATTTTTTACCATTTCTTGAAGAATATCAAGTTGCTTTAGAGATGTTGGAGGTGGGAATCTGTTCCTCATTGTAGTCTCCAAAATTAACTAGAGAGGTTCAGTTATGTTCAGATATGGTGATTGTGCTGACCAGGAAAGATGTTGAAGTTCACCTTCATGCTCTTCAGACCATGACTGAACAGTTCCAGCTGTGTGAATGGGGGCAATATTGCCTTGGAAAACTGCATAATAGTTTGGAAATATCGTCTGGATCATGGGATACACCTGATTACCCAACCTGTCCACATACTCCCTTGCAGTTATTTGGCCATGAAGGGTAATACTGGGACCAACAGACTACCACAATATTGCTGCCTGAACCATCACAAAACGTCCCTAGTGTTTCAGTCTTGGAACCGGGCATAATGGATTGTAGGCTACCTTGGGTGTTCTCCAGGAATAAATTCTTCCTGATGTAGGAAACAGCATGAAGGACAGCTCATCCAGCCATATCACGCATGCATTTCTAGTTGTCTGATGGCCACGTTTTAGGGTCGTGACACCATCATTTATGCATCTGAGCATTACTTTCAGTAATCAGAGGTTTGTCCATGATTTATTCTAACCGTCTTACAGTGCATACATTTATTCACCTTACTCTTCTCTCTTGCACTACATGTTTCAGCACAAAAGTGCCATCTTCAGGTGCTTTTCGTTGTACGTCAAACTACTTCATTGCATGACCTGTTGTCTTTATACTAAAATATATACTCGTCATATATATTGATAAATTTTAAATATTAAAAATATTAAAACTGTTCAGGATTTGTCATCCTTATGTCATATCTCAATACGCGAGTCACACCTATCTTCCCAGCAGTATAGCACACGCAGTCACAGGAGCAAGACACAACACAAAGCACAATACACACACGAAAGTAGGAAGAATGCTCCGATAGAGGAAGATAGGTGTGACTCGCTTATTGAGATACGACATAAGGATGACAAATCCTGAACAGTTTTAATATTTTTAATATTTAAAATTTATCAATATATATGAAGAGTATATATGTTAGTATAAAGACAACAGGGCATGCAATGAAGTAGTTTGACGTACAACGAAAAGCACCTGAAGATGGCACTTTTGTGCTGAAACGTGTACTGCAAGAGAGAAGAGTAAGGTGAATAAATGTATGCACTGTAAGACGGTTAGAATAAATCATGGACATAAATCAGTGCAACAGAGCGCTAAAATATAACATTAATCAGAGGTTTAGTAATTGCAGCCCTACTGTGGATGTTGGATTTATGAAGCTCATATCGGACACTTTTTGTGTGGAAGCACAGAATCTTCAAGATGAGTATTCCATTCTGCTGCCTGTCACCTATGGCTGCAGTAGTTCTGTGATTTTTCAAAACAGTCCTTCTCAATGTACAATGATCTCTTTCTGTGAATGTTGATTTTTGCCCACTGTTCATCTTAGCCGTTGTTGCCTTCCCACGATCTGTGTATGTGGATATAAACTGAGAAACTATCACTTTCGATACACTTAATAATGTGGCAGTTTTTATTACAGATGCTCCAGCTAAACACACACCAATGATCTGTCCTCTTTCAACATCAGACAGTTCTCCCATTTTTCAAGTCTTTCACACCGACTGTCACTCAACACAATAATTAATTCACCGATACAAGCACTAAAGAGTGTAAACAAACGGAAGAAGAACATTCAATGTTGCCAACTGAAGTTCTTTCAATGTGGCTCAAATTCTGTTCCTCAATTTCTTAGTGTTTTCATTATTTTTCCATTCCCTGTATATTAACCCCTCAAGGTGGCATTTAAGCCCCTACCAGTTATACACTACAGCAGTATTTAAGTGGGGTTGTAGCAGACATTTCTTATGGCATGTTTTTCTTTCATTATTATTATTATTATTATTTGTATTTTAGAAATTTTGTGAAATATTCAGAAGATGCTGCAGGTTGTCTAAAATTTCATCCAAGTTTTCCTTTATGAGATCACACTTTGTATACTATAGGAATTGGCTTTGTTGTGGTAGACTGAAATATTTGTCAAAGTGCAAACCTATTCCATAATCCTTACACCAAAATGAAGTCCTTTCTTTTTCACTTGCCTTTCAGCAAACTGTACATCTTTTCTTGGACTTGGTTTGCATCTCATATGGAGACATCCTTTCTATGAAATGTGTTGTCATCAGTCCCTCATGTGTTAGTGTTTTTGATTGTCTTTCAGGGTGAGGAGGTTCTAAAGCCTTTATATATATTTCAAACAGTTATTTCATTAGTTGGTGTCTTTTCATTTTAGCTTTCTCTGTAAAGCACAAAGGCTATATACAGGGTGTTTCACGACTTTAAGGCATAACTGCAGGAGGTGATTTCCTAGGTCTTTGTGATCAAAAAAGTTCATATAAACATGTGTCCGATTTTGGACGGTTACGGAGTTATGACCATTTTAAACTCAGAATAGAAGGTAACGATTACTGACAATAAATGGAACAAAATAATAAACCAGCATAATACATGATACATTTAAAGTATGAATGTAAATTTAACTTCGTTAAATTACATTTAATTTGAATTTATTGGTGCTTAAAGCTGATTTTCGAAAATGCCACCACCAGCCGCAACAGGGGCTGCCGCTCGGTTGTGAACCGTGCCGGACATACCAACCCACCCCGCCTTAGCTCTCAAGTGTCGAGATAACGAGAACGCTCTGTCTGTAGTTGGCTAAAAATAGCGACCCGCCAGCTGACAGACACGGTTCACACGAGAGCGTATACAGAAATGAAAAAATGGTCATAACTCCGTAACTGTCCAAAATCGGACACATGTTTATATGAACTTTTTTGATCACAAAGACCTAGGAAATCACCTCCTGCAGTTATGCCCTAAAGTCGTGAAACACCCTGTATATATTGAAATATTTAGCAGCGTCAAGAACAGATTTGTATATTAGGTTGTGCTTCTCTTTCTCTCAGTTTCTTATGGTTGATATCTTTGACCTTTCATATCTACTCCTCCCATGAATGAATTATGTCCCTATATACCTCTTGGTTTATTTAGGTCTTTTCCACTTTATGAAACTGTCACCATGGCATCACTGTGATGTATTAAAATGAATGACATGAGCTTCTTGTGTGTCCAGCTCATCATCCTCACTTTTTGGCTGTGCACAGCTGTATGTTCACCCTGTTTCAGTTTTGTGCTCCATTGCAGTGTACCAGCTACATTTACACCATATTTATTTGGAAGGCACCAGAGATCTGGTGAATTGTAGAAACTGTACATCCATAATGTGTGTCACTTGTTTTGAGACTCAGATGGGACGTCCCTGTTAGATCTGTTGTGATTCCATTGCATAGTTCTCTGATAGATGAGGCACAAAAATTGAAGGATTTTATTCCAAAATTAGCATCTTTCATGGGAATGGACTGCTTGAATCCCAGTCTGCCCTACAACAGTCAGGGATGCATCAAGAGTATATTTTTGTTTAATCTTTGAAGGCTGCTAAATTTTCTGTTTGAGTGTTTCAAAATCAGATCAATTTTGAATAATTTCTTATTTCCTTCAGAAGTTTCAATTTCATCATTATTCCAAAATGTAAAAGCTGTGAAATTAATTTTACCTCTTTTGTGATATGTATTTATAAGAAACTTAGTGTGTTAAAAATAAAATTTTTGTTAAAATATATCATTTGGATAGCAAAATACACATGAAGTCCATCACTGTCAACATCTTGCCTGTTGAGAAGGTTTGATTTTAATTTTAGTTAATCCTTGGGTGTGTCTGAAATTCACAGTACACAGGTTTGTTTCAGTAACTGTAATGCCCATTACTGAAATATCAAAATGTGGCCTGAAGGCCTTTAATGCACTTGTGACAGTGAGATCACTGTTTTCAGAAAATTGAATTTTACTAGAATGGTAAGAACCATCAACTTTTCCCATTTCCAATCACTGTTGTTCCAGTCTAGGATTCTTCATGCTTGCATTACCCATTTATTGATCAATTTAAACATTTTTTGGGTTTATCGTTGAAGAAACACTCTTCAGTTTAAAAATATCTGCTTCACTTTGAATATCATTACTATACACTCCTTCATCATGAGATATACCAAAACTTCCAGTATATCACATGTTTCAAAGCCACACAGTATACAGGGCAGCACAATTCTGAACTCCAGAAAATTCAATATAGCTGTTGTTTGATCCTTCAGATGAAAGAACCAACATATTCAGTGAAAACTGCAACCTTTGAAGGTGTAATGCTTCAGTTAGTTTGGCACAGCAGTGACAGTTTTCTTTGAGCTAGTGATTGGCAAGGACAAACTTGGGATGTTGCTGATAGTGCAGTTAAAGGCTGACAGGTGCCTAGTCAGGTTACCAGCTAGAGGAGTTAAAAGTTCAGTGAGGTAGCAGTTTTATGTGTTGTAGTTCCAAAAGTCATATGTTTTGGAGTTTATCTTACATCATCATCAGATATTTTTAATGGACAGTGTAGTGAGGAAGTTTTGTAGTTGTGCTTATGAGCTCAGGTATTTATCCATTCTGTTTGGTCTGTTCCCAAAGATTAATATATATACATATATGGAGGGTGCCTGTCAGGATTGACCGTATAAAATGTAACAAAAATGAAAGTGATACCACAGTCGAGTGGTGCTTCTACAGAATCTCTGTGTGAGTAGTCCTCTGTAATAGAATAAGCCAAAAATACATAATTCAGGTGGGTATAAACTTGTTTTAAAATTAAAATGATACATGGAGAGCAGCACACTTACAGAGATGTTGATGTTGTGGTACTTGAGAGTTGACTGTGAGCTAGCTGCAGGCCTAAGTGCAGTCTTGTAGTTTAAAATGTCATCAAAGATACGGTTGCAGGCATCTCTACAAGTGTTGTTTAGGTGTAGTCTCAGATTTATGAAAATGAGGTGTGCAGAGTGGAGCCTGCATGAGAGAAAAAGTTTATAAAATTTTGGTTAGGAAACCTGGAGGGAAGAAACATCTTGGACGACCTAGACAGAGGTAGGAGGATAATATTAAAATGTGTCTTAAATGTAGGGTGGGAGGTTGTGTATTTAATGTACCTGGCTCAAGACAGGGTCCAGTGGTAGGTTCTTGTGGTCACAGTAATGAATTTTTAGGTCCAACATGAGGTGGGGAATTTCATCAGAAGCTGAATGGCTATTAACTACTCAAAAAGGGTCTGCTCCATGTAGTTAGTCAAACTGATGACATTTGTGAACTTTAAGGTTTCTCCAATAGCTGAGTTTCTCAAGTACTCTGCTCTGTGGAATTAGCTACTTGTTGGGCTATGTGTGTACATCTTCCTACATGCTTACAAGAGCAAAAGAGGAATGTCTGTCATTGTATTCAAAACATGGCAGTTTAATTGTGTGTTTGACATACAATCAAGGCTTGCTTACACAATGAATAATTAATCCGAAATTATGGTGATAAATTGTTATCATGTTACTAATGATCCAAAAACATTATATGGAAGAAAGTTCTCAAATTTCTTCCTCTTGTTAATCATAACTGTTGTTTAATTCACCCTGGTCGTACTATCGTATCACTTATAGATGAGGATCAGAAGGATCGGGAACGAGAGCTTGTGAATGCAGAGATGATCCCATTACGACCTACCAGTCTCAGCTTCTGGGAAAAGTTCCTTGAGCTGCAATACAAGATGCTCTTTGCCAATCAAGAGAATGTCCAAAACCACATGTACAGCAGTGAGCCTCTGGAATGGCCCTTCATGGCCCGTGGCATTGCCTACTGGGTCAGTCCACACAGCAATGTAAGTACATCACCTCCTGCATCTTTAAAATGAGATGTATAACAGTTTCAGTTATCTAGCTTTCCCCTGAGTCCATACTTAGTCTGTCTGCCTTACAGTTATGAGGTGAGGATGTCATAAGGCAGGATGTCCTTTATTGGATGTAGTAAGATGATAATGCAGTTGGTCAGCAGATGGGACCTTCTGCTTACCATATATTCTTAATAATACTGTGACGTGTTTCGTTACTGAAGATGCCATAGAGATCGTTAATTGATTTATTCAACAACCTACAAGTAACGGCTAAAATTAATTATCACACAGTTGTGGGGTTTCACACTTTGTAACCCTAATCGCAATAATCTGTTTACACTGTTGCGGGGTTTCACAATTTATAACCCTATTCGCAAATCAATTCACTCTGTCTTCAGTAGTCTACACGCTTACAGTAGGGGAGCTATGTATCACTGTACCACACACTCCCAATTACACAATTACACACACGTCCGGTTCTTCTTTCCACGACGGCTGCTATACTCCAACTCTAGTCTGCTGACTGGAGAACTGTTGATAACACACTCGCTCGTAGGCTTGCTCAGAACTAACTCGGAACTGAACTCGGCGATGGCCACATTACACCTCTCCTCACAGGCAGCACAGCTCTCTTATATAGTGGCTGTGTGTGCCTGTTACGTAGCAACGGTGTTACCTCATGCCGTCTTACGTCACCGCGCATTGACTCGCGTTGCATAGCTACCAGGACGCTGGGACTCGGCTCACTTCGGCTCCACTCGGCGCGTCAGCTCCGGGGAGGGGGGGTACAGCTAGCGCGACACGTCACAATAGAGATGGGGTTGTCAAGAAATCTTCACTGGATTTATCTGTCTTGGACCCAAGTCCTTTGCCATGGGCTGGTTGGTAATAGGTTTGGTTTAAAGTCACTCATTTGCACTCTTTGCCCTTGACTGTCAAATGAAACTGAAACTTCAGAACTGAACTTTAACTTAACTAATATTTTTGTACCAGTAGTGGCATTTCCTCCACATCAGTTGAAATACTAATAGCTTATTACAATATCATACATGACATTTCCAGAGTTAGTTTCCTCCTCACATGTTGTGCAACAGTCTCGTGTATTATGGTTCAGACCTTCTCATGGATAAGATGGTTAAAATGAAATGGTTTGAAGTATTGGTTTCTCAGGTATCAGGTATGAAATGATGGTTACTCAGATGCTTAGAACATGATTCTAGTGATGCTAGTGAGACAGATAGGAATAAATGTGGGATTTGGGGATGTGGATTCAGTGAAATTAATTGATCCGGGAATACCAGACTAATTATTGCTTGCTGTGAGAGTTCATGTACAAGTGCGCACATGCATGTGAGCGTTCACATGCACCCACACACAAAGGATGTAATGTATGTAATGTATACATATAAAAGTACTCCCATTACTCGCTTCCAGCTCTGTTCACTGAATGTCTAATTTACCTCATTGAGTTTTCATATTGTGACATCACTCGCGAGACCGCAGAGTTCACGTGACCCCTACTTCCCATTGCGCCATCCATGGCGTCTTCAGTGGCAAAACACATTACAATATGTTGTTATTGTTCTAATATCCCAGTGTGGAGGCAGGTTAGAATAGTCAGCTGTGGCCCTGCAGGTCATGGAATGCAATGAAAGGGGAGCCTGTTCCTCCAGGTTTGGGATTGAATGCAAGGCTGATGACCTTGCATTGTGAAAATAAAATTATTGTTGCAAAACCCAAAGAAATGAAAACCAGATCAAATCTGGCAGAATCTTCTAAGGAAGGCTATGGCACAAATGCTGTTTTGCCATTGATGGTGGCGGCGGCAGTGGTAGTGGCAGTGGCTGACTTGCCTCTAGCTAACTTCTGTTTTTAATAACTCAAGAGTGTGATGAATGGAGGCTGTTTCTTGGACTTTGAGGACATTAAATCATCTGTGAAAAAAATTGTGACAATCCTGTTCAGGATTTTAAAAGCTATTTCAAACAATGGCCAAAGCACTGGGAACATTATGAACAATTGAATGAAGATTACTTTAAACAATTCTAGGTTGCTAATATCTGCACCTCTTAAAATAATTTTTTAAAAGTATAGTCTCAAAATTTATTTGTCCAACCTTTTATATATAAAAACTAGCAGTATGTGGCAGAAATGAGTAAATCAATAGGAATGGCCGAGACCAACATTTAGAAACACAGACTGGATCTGAATTTAGAAAACAGATACCCGCCTGTCAGCCCCTGATTACGGAAATCTCTGTCTAGCTGTCTCATGGGCCTTGCCACCTCCAGAGCAGTGATCAGGTTGAAATCTAAATCCTGAATGTTTGCCCAAGTAATGCACACCTATTCCCTAGCTGGTAGAAAGGAGTGAGGTTGAACAGGAAAACAGCAGGTGGGAAAAGGGGGCAAAGAACAACATGCACAGGAAGGCAGTTGCAAGATATTTTGGAATATATATACAGTGAGCCAGGAACAGCACGGCCCAATTTGATTCCAGGATCTTCTGATTACAAAGCAGGAGTATTCCATCCAGCAGAAGATTTGGCCATGGATAAAGTAATTATGATAGATGAGGGAGGAGTTGTCTTTTAGCAGTAGGATTCATAATACAGTTGTAAATCTTTGTGTGCATATTTGTTGTTTATGTAATTACACTGTCAGCAACTCAGACTATAGAAGTAATGAATTAGAAAAGAATGTAGAAGGAAATAATTATGGCCTAATCAAGGTATTACCCATGCATTTGCCTGAAAGCAATGAGGAAAATCTATAGAAACTGGTTAATTGATACTTTGGCCATGATTCAAATCCCCCTGAATTCACTCACACCAGCATTACTGCTTAAACCAATTTGCTTGGTAAAATTATGCAAGCTTTGTGACAACAGATGGTACATAATGTATCAGTTTGCCCAGGACACTGTAACTTCTCACCAGCAAGCAAAACCTTTTGCAGAAGGTCAAGAGATTAACAAACTCATATGTTGAAAGTTATGACATGCAGTTACACTCAGTCCAGAAACCAGCTACAATGACCCAGGTTTTGTGGTTTTTCTGAGCCCTTCAAGGAAAATGGGGTGTTGGTACTTAAATTATGTTATGACTGCATCCTTCCACATCCTCTCAAATTCATTATTCACTAATCTTTGTACAGTTTGAGGTAATATTATATTCTGAACTACAGGTTGTGACAAACAATATATGAAATACACAGCTACTGTACTTACAGGGAAACATACAACTTAAGAAGAAAATTCTATTAGTTGATTGTTCCATCCTGAGCACCTTCAAAATTCATTGCTCATAAAGGGGTTAAAATTTTGTACACTCTTTCAAGAATGACTTCTAGGATGTCTGAATTGCACTACAAGATAACGTTGCTCTGTGAAGACAGAACTGTGCATGTGTCCACATTCCAGTCTATAAAGTAAGAGAAACGTTATCTCTGTGCTTATTTAATTAGGCACCACGCCATGAAGACGTATGGAAGGAGTGGAACTATTGATTCATTATTCTTAACTTTGACATTGTATGGGAGTGGTCAGCTTCTTGCCCTGGCCTCTTTACCGGTGGGGAGCAGCCCTTAATACCCATTGTATGGGAGGTTGGGTACTATGGAGGAAATAAAATCTCTCCTTGTGAAGAATGAAACTCTGGTTTCTAGCCCAGCTCGGTCACTATACCAACTGGGCAGGAGGAGAATAAGGGTTGCATTAGCCTTTGAGAATGTTCCTATGCTATCCATGCAAGAAATCCAAACTGTGAATAGTTGTTTATGTGATGTGACCTGAACCTGCTGTGTCTGGCCAGACAAGAAATGAATATATAAGCAGAGATTAATAGAATGAAGTACATTCATTGCAACATACTACCAGGAACAAAGTTCCAATGTTGTCAGTCTGACTTTAGAGGTGAGATGGACGTGTCTTACATAAGTTCATTCATTTGTTAGGCTTGTCATTACTTCCATAGCCTAAAATTCCCTTTAAATTTTAAAATGGTAAAACATGCAAACATTAAGTGGATCAACAGAAAAAATGACCATAATCATAAGTTTCAAAATGTATTTTGTTGCTGTGCAGTATATTGTCACGTGTTGGGTAGGTCACACAACAATTAACTTCACGCTGTCGAGGATGTAGCGGATATTTATTGTGCTTTGCTTCTGCATTCACGCACTTTACAATTATTACCACAAGCGGTATCACAATTACTGTTTCCACTATATGCTGGACTCCAACTGTTTCGTTCGTATGTGTCTGTCTAGCTCTGCTTCCAACTGTCATATATTGGCATTATGCGGACCGGATACCAGACACCATTTCTCACAGTTCTGTTTCTGCTGTTTCGATAGTCTTCTGTTGCGCGACAAACCTTCTGTTCATCCCCAGGGAAACACGTTCATTGTTTCGGCATTCTCTACGCAACAGCCCACTGTTATTGCATTACCATTGAAGTACCTACTCCAAACACGTTACAATATTAAACCATTATAAAAATGAGGCTATCTTAACAGAAGGGGGTTCAGCGACAGAATGCAAGTAACTTTAATTCCAGGCAGCTTAATTTCCATATGGCTGCCATAAATATCCTTGTAGTTGCACCACCTGTAAAGGGTTTTATAATAAAATTAGCTGTGCTAACAAAAATTGTCTTTTTTACTACATTATCCTTCCCAGTGTTAGGTATGATGATCTGTTTATGGGCATTGTGAAGCAGAATGTTTCCATTTTTTAAGAAGTCTTCTGTGTATCCTCTTGTCTGGAGAATTGTACTAGACCTCAATATTTTATTATGTTCTCCTGAACTTTTTCTGTAGTATTGTACTATAAGTGATACTGAATAATAATGTTATCATTTATTCCATTTTTATGGCTGTAAAGGCATTTCTCATGAAACTTGTGGAAATAAATTACAAGAAATGTGCAGTGAAGTGCCAAAACACTGGTCTCTTACAGGCTCAAGTACACTTGCTTGGAAACTTGGTGGTGTGGCTATCAGGGTCTGTTAGCCTCATACTGTACAGCATTTTACTGACCTTCTACCTGATTCGCCGACGTCGCCACTGCTATGATCTCACCCCAGGTTAGTCAAGGAACAGTAACATCTGAAGCTACACAAGCAAGGATTTCAGCAGCTTTAAGGTTACTAGGATGGAACCAGAAGTATTTGCTTTATTGTCAGTATCAGCTGATATTAAAAATAAAATCTTCATAATAAGCAAGTATAATGAAACCTGTTTGTAATGAAATTCTAATGGATCTGAACATTTTTCCATTTGTTCACCACAGATACTTCTAGATGAAAAATATTACACAGTACTTACTGCATGTATATATTATCAAAAATACAAACCAGAAATCAGTGCTATGTATTTGCATACCACTTACCAAGCAATGCACATTTTTGTTTTTCTCCCCCTCCCCCAAAATAGCCCATTAAATATTCTGGACATATTTTGTCATCAGACTTAACTCTTTTCCATTTATGACATGTTTTTTTGTTAAACAAATTCTGGGTAACAGAGTGCAGAATAAAATTGTAAGAATACAATAATGTATGAGTAAATATTCAAGCAGACTTTTTGTTTATGTTTTCCTTCTGTCTCTGTGTTACACACTTGTCAGCTGTTAGAGGCAATATTACATTACATTATACATTCCTTGGATCATTTGTTGATAAATACAGGTTTCCATTTAATACAGATGGTACTGTTTCAGTACCAGGAATTTTCAGAACACCGTGGGTATTGCTATCTTCCAGTCTTTTTTTGTTCTGCAGACACATGGTACAGGTTTGTGGTTGTGGGTGAAGTATTGCTGTTGGGGTTCCTGTTCCATTATGTGCCCTACTTCTTTGTGGAGCGTACATTGTTTCTACATCACTATTTACCAGCCTTTACTTTCAAAGTGCTACTAATGGCTGCTCTTGTTGAACACTTGCACCACGTATTTTGGTAAGTTTATTCTGCTGAATCTGCCACGTGTTTTGGCTTACTATACTAATTTCTGTAGTGAGTCTTCCTTTGGTTCACAATAATACAGTCATGCCATAGCGCTGGCAGTTAGTTTCTAGCTTCCCACCTTGGTGGTTTATGTTTGATCCTAGGTCAGGTCATGTGGGATTTGTATAAAAAGGTGGCTGACAGATCCATCAGTGGCATATTTAGTAGAACCTGCACTGGCCAATGGATAAACCACTGACACTAAAGGCTTAAGAACAAAGTAATGAGAATAATATAATATTTGAACCTCTGAAACTGGAAATAATAGGCTGGAGAAAATGATATAAAAAGAAACTTCATAATTTATCTTCACAGTGTGCATCCTGTTGTGTGTCATAAACATATATGATTAAGGTTAGCCATCATTACAACAAATGGTTTATAATCAATCAGTATTTTACACACTGAAATTTATTTCCTGCTATATGTTTCGGTCCTCTTGGGACCGTCATCAGATGGTAATATATAAATATGTGTAAGGTCATTGAACTCCTAATATGGTTCCGTATTTGGTGCAACGTGTCATAATTCAGATTTTGCCTTGAATTACAATATTAGTATTAAATTTAAAGATAATAAAAATATACCTACACACGAAACACGCTACAATATTGTATATTGGTAAATGATACAAACTCCGTCCTAAGTGCAAACAATATATATTATATGTCTTTGATCTTGTTCTTTCTACACTACATGTTTCGGCCTCTATCGGCCATCATCAGGTGTATACTCTTAACGTTGCTGCCACACTGAACCCAGTCTAAAATTTAACATTTAAAAACACAATGTCACATTCTTCGTATTATCAACATCTACATCGTTGATATGTGTCTGGTATGCAGATATTGTGTTGCACACGTCAAATTTGATATTCTTGTAGTAGCACTCTAAAAATGTTTAGTTATGATGTTTTTAAAACCTTTTAAAATTTTCTCTAAATTTAAAATTTAAAATTTAAAATTCTTAGGGTTACTCGCCCTATGTCTAAGTGCTGGAGTGGCTAGTTCTTGTTTTCACACTTTACAGGTGTTATTTAATGTAGTCTTCTTGTGTGGGTGCCGCTGCTTGTCTGTACTACGTGTGCTCTTTTTAAAATTTTAAAAGGTTTTAAAAACATCATAACTAAACATTTTTAGAGTGCTACTACAAGAATATCAAATTTTNATGGCCGATAGAGGCCGAAACATGTAGTGTAGAAAGAACAAGATCAAAGACATATAATATATATTGTTTGCACTTAGGACGGAGTTTGTATCATTTATCGTGTAGAGTGCAACAGGATGCTTAAATATAATATTGTATATTGGCTTTATAGAACCTTTGTCCATAAAGTTCCGAGATTGGTTTAATATCTCGGCTTAGGTAAATGGTGGCAATTCCGGGAAAAGGTGTTCTAAATACGGGACTTTTATGGCTTACCTGTATTATTGACGTTAGTTTGTTTGACCTCCACTAGGCTGCAGGGTGCGGCAGAAAACCCATGTCAGTTGCGGGTTTGTGCTGTGAGAAGAATGAACGTTCAATTTGAACGAGTTAACATCAAATTTTGTGTGAAGCTGGGCAAGACAGCCACAGAGACATGGCAGCTTCTACATGATGCCTACGGCGATGAAGCTTTATCCCGGGCGCAAGTATTTGAGTGGCACAGGTGATTGGTGTCGAGCAGGGTGTTGGTGGAGGATCACATAAGATCAGGCCGGCTTTTGAGTTCACAGACCGAAGACAATGTGGTTCACATCAGATACATGGTATGGGAAGACTGTACTATTACAGTGTGTATGTTAGCTGATGCCCTGAATATCAATAAGTTGACCTGCCACCAAATTCTGCGAGAGGACTGGGCTAGTCCCACAAACACTCACTCAGGATCAAAAGGAGATGCAAGCTTCAGTTTGTGCTGATTTGTTACACGAAGCACAGAACAATTCTATGTTCACCAACAGTATCATTGCCGAGGATGAATCATGGTGTTTCCAGTACGACCCTCAGATGAAGAGGCAAAGCGCCGAAAGGCGGTCAACAGGTTCTCCAGCGTCAAAGAAAGTGAGGCAGCAGCCATCGGAAACAAAGACTATGATAATCATTCTTTTTAATGCCAGATTTATTGTTCATCACAAATTTGTTCCACAAGGGCAAACTGTCAACCAAGAATTTTACATGTCCATACTCAGGCTTATGCGTGAGGCACTTTGACATCATCATCCTTACCTATGGGCATCTGGACAGTGGACTTGGTTGCATGACAATGCAAGACCACACACAGCTCTACATGTCAACATATTTCTTGCTAAACACAGTGTTACTATGCTTTAACATCCCCCGTACTCACCTGACCTCTCTCCATGCAATTTTTTTCTGTTTCCATGACTGAAAAAAATGCTAAATGGATGGCGACATGAGAATATAGAGGCTATTCAAGCAGCTGCAGCACTGGAGCTCACAGCCATTCTGAAAGAGGTGTTCACCAGCTGCTTTTAGGACTTGCTGAAATGCTGGCAACAGTGTATTGACATGGGGGGGGTCACTTTGAAGGGGACAGGAATCATTTGTTAATAATGTGACATGTTGACCCCTACCTCCCCAGCTGCACGTAGCGGTAACGTAGCGCTCGCGTAATAGGCGAGTAATCACCCCGCATCCTGGTAGCTATGCAACGCGCAACGCGCGGTGACGTCACCAAGGGATATCGCGGTTGCTAGGCAGCAGTCAACAACTCCGGACAGTGTGGCTAGTAACACGGCACCAGACGACAATTGTCCGATCGAGGCTACATGAGGAGCAGCGAAGGCTATTCACAGTTAGTCCTGGAGCTACCCCCGAGTCAGTCCTCGAGCTACCTCCGAGTTAGTTCCGAGTTAGCCAGCAACCAGTCAGTTGTATTGTGGCATTTGGAGTGTAGTATTTGTGATACTGCAGATAGCAGTAGTTCTAAATTGTCAATTGTGTGATTGTAAGTGCGAATGTGAAATAAAATTCGCTATATAAAATACGGCGTGAAGTTATTTGTCGCGATATATGCCCAATACGCGACAATAAGTTCAATTTTATATTTTTTTACAGGCTCAGTCTCAGAACTTAATTGATTGATTATAAATCATTTGTTGTGATGACGGGTAACCTTAGATCCATAAATGATACTCTTCACATGGTAATATTGTTAATGTAATTAAGTCAAGGAGGATGGGATGAGCAGGACATGCAACAGACATGAGAAATGCTTTGAAATATTGGTTGCATAAGCTCAGTTGAAGAGATCACTTGGAGATGTGGCTGTATATGGCACTTCATGAGCAGTTGAACTGGTAACTGCTTAACCCGTTGCCGTGGTTCGTCGTGTATGTTTCGTCAGGGATTTAAATCGTCTGGGGGGGTTCGACGTGTATGTTTCGTCCAGCTGCACACGTATGTTATAACGCCCATAATAATTGATGGTTTTGCTGTAGANCCTGCACCATGGAGTTCATGATTTAATTACTTAGATGTGATTTTGGTGGTTCAGTGAAAGGTTGAGAGACTGGCTTTTGTCATAAAAAATGTTTTTGATAAACTGTTTAGCTTTGTACTGCTGATGCAATACTCTTTGCTCTTTCTTTGCATAGTGAAACATTATCCTGGCGTCTGGGCTTGGCAGTCTTTAAGCTTCTAGCAGGAGCATGGTTGGTAGCCGTGCTGGTTGTTTTCCGGCGGTTTTCTGTTTTAAGTTATGGCACGATTCCACTATCAGCTGCAGATATTCTTCGGTTGCGGTGGAGAGACTCCTGGGACTTCATTCTTCATAGACAGTGAATATGTGTAAACACGGACAAACTACCTGATAAGTAATTCTCTCTTTTAGTAATCACTGTCTCATCAAAAATACTCCAGTCACATCGCAATGATGGCCTTGCCCTAGGGTTCCTGTGTTTACAAGTATAGCATACTACAGGGTGTCCAGATGAGAGGTATCCAGGATAAAATAATGATATTTCAGAAATCATTTATTATACACATTTATGGGTTACACCATTACAAATGGGAACTATCGAAGTTTTTTCTAAATATATAACTTTCTCAGTAAATTTCAATGTTGTCCCCCTTGGTGGCATGAAAAATATCCGGATGATATTCAACCTTATTCCACATTGCTTGAAGCATGTTTGATGTTACCATAGCCACAGTGTCCCTTATACAGACTTTCAGGTGTTGAATGTCATTGATTGTAACCTGGTAGAAAATGCTCTTCACATAACCTCACAAGAGAAAATCGAATGGGGTTAAATCTGGGGACCTAGGAGGTCAAGCAATTGGTCCACCTCTGCCAATCCATCTCCCAGTCATTTCTCTGTCCAGGTGATTCCTAACAAGGTGGCAGAAATGTGGTGGTGCGCCATCTTGTTGGAGGATAGTTTTAGCATACAGCTCCATCATGTCCAAATACAAATGTCCGATCACTGTCATTTCCGAAAAGAAAATTGTCCAATCAACTTTTCATGCATTGAGCCGGTCCACACGTTCACTTGGAGCTGCCTCTCTCCAACTCACATGTGACATACGGATTTTGACTCCCCAAAATCCTGCAGTTGTAGCTATTTACAACTCCATTGACATGGTACAATGCCTTGTCTGAGAAGCACACTTGGCAGAGGAAATCGGGTGACGCTTCAATTCTTTCTAGCATGTTCACAGCAAAGTCTGTGCGTGCTACTTGGTCACTTGGTTTTAGTGCATGAATCATTTGAATTTTGTATGCTCTTAGGCAGAGCCTTTTGTTTAGCACATCATGCAATGTTGAGATACAAATTTTTTATTTTGGATACCTTTCATCTGGACACCCTGTGTAAAGAACACTTTTCATTTCATCTCTTTATTTTGCATTTTATGTCATTTATCTTTTGAAAATGTCAGCATTAATTAACAGAAAACTTGATGGTAAATTATTATACTTCTAGTGTAATGCCTATTGAAAATTTATATTGTCACAATTTTAGAGACTATTTACAGGATTTGGTTTGGTAATTGTTAATTGAACACTTACAGAAGGTAACTACAAACAACTACGACAGTCTCAGTGAATTACACACTCCAAAGATCACTGTAACCACAGCATACATAAAGTCTTCTTAGTTTGCTATGTCTTCACCAGTCGTTGCCTGGTGACAGATCTCAACAGTGTCCTCTGCTTCTTTGCTCATGTTCTTACAGGCTGGCAACTGTCTTGTAACTGACTCATTGCTCCAGCTGTCCTGCTCTTAACATCTCAGCACAGGCTGCACGGAAAACACCATTCCTTTGTTGCTGTTTCAAATTACACATGCAGCTGAGAGTAATGGCTCTTGTATATTTGCTTATCTTACGTTTGTTGTCTAGTAATTGGTCTACATGATACAGTATTAAATATAATTTAATTCTAACATTCAGTTCTTGAAATATTTCCGAATTTGTATCGTGATCTGGAAGTATCATTGTCATATATGCCTCATATATATTATGCAAATCCTACCATGTACTAGTTCAGTGCCTGTACTTTGTGATGATTCTGTTAATGGACTGATGCCCATATTACATATATTATTTTCAGCCCCTAGTTAATTTATATGATATTATTGTTGAAGAACTCTGTACACTTCTTCCTAGAGGCAGTTTTAACTAGCTCATCAGTGTCATAATGTTTCCCCATTCTTCTGTTAAGACTCACATGTAAATTTATGCTATTTATGGAGCAAGATGTCCCCCCCCCCGTTGTTTTAATGTCAGGGTTGTTCATCAGTCTTTACATATTTAAAACAAAAACATTTCCACTTTATGAAAACCTCTCCCTTGGGAATGTTTCTGTAGAATAGTACAACACTTTTGTCATAGCTTTTCAGCCATGTCTTATCACACCTAACCACTAGCATTTCACTGTTAAATTTTATGCATTCATTTACATTCAGTGCAGACATTGTGAATGATTACAGTCACTTTCCAGTGAACACAGCTGCTTTGGGGCATGTTTTCTCAAGGTACTTCCCTTGCCTTGTCATATTTAACAAATATTTCACTATGTTTACCCATCACTTGTATCATAAGAATCACTCTATAAGATGGGCAGTTAGGATATGTGTGTGAAGTGAATGACAATTTTATGTACACAGATCTCCTGTTGGTTTTTATGTTGCACTTTTGTTTGTACAGTGCAGAAGAACTATAAGGCAAACAGGCCTTTTGAAATTGAAAGTGTTCCCCCTTCCCTCAAGTGATATATTGTGTAGCCATGCCAGTGAAACATTGCATATAATTTGAAACCAGAATTATGTTTCTATATTAAAGTTTTAAAACTTCAGCTTCCAGTATGTGGACTTCAAACGCTCATGCAAATACAGTCTTTGTAATGCTGATCTAACATACTTTGTATACAGAAATTTGGTGAAAGGTATTATAAACTAATAATTATTTTTGTAATAAAGAATAACTTTTTTTTTATAAATTCTACATGTACTTGAGTCTTCCCTTCATGGTATGAATATAAAATGAGATAAATCAATGTGAGGTTTGCATTGAAAAGAGCAAGTCAAGATTGGGTAGTGGTGATGGACTCCTGATAGCACAGTTCAACTACAGTCTGAGCACTGAAAAGCATAGTGGTTAGCATCATGGTTTTGTATTTTGGAGGTCTTGAGTTTCAATTTTTGTTGTGAGAACAGTCTTGTTTGAAGATTTTCATGATTTTTCTGTCTTGCCAAGTATTTGGCAGTATACTACCTTAAAATGTATCATGACCCCTTGCATATCCTTTCTTCTAACTTATCATCCATGATAGTCCATCATCAGTTCAACATAACCTATGCAGTTGAAAAATGTCATTAATGAGCCAACTCAGCCTTGGCACATCCTCAGCCACACTTCCTCACATTCCTCTTTAGTGCCTCCCATTTCTATGAAATGTCTGCAAGAAAAACTGAACCATAAGAGTCTATTCCTTGTATAATTACTAAAGTAAAAGAACTGCAGAACCCTCACATCATCAAAAATATGACTTCAGTGCTAGATTTTAATGAATTTTGTTATCCAGTCACCTGAGTTTAGGTTTTCTGATGTAGATTTATTTTGTGGGCTGTGCATAATCCATCCTAATACTAAGACCAGCTCAAGGTTTTCCCTTATTTACCATTCAGTTTCATAGTTCTGTCCCCGTCATCCCAGAGTGAACACAGTAATGAAAAGAAGGCTGTGTCCTATTTCTGTGCTTCTCACACTTGCCTACAAGAGTACACGCAGGAAACTGATTTTTGTGCCACACCAGATTTGACAGCTGCTATTTGTTTCTTGATATGTAGATGTCGGTAGTTAATGGCTGTATACAAAGCTGACCGATCACACCGGCTGTACAGTCTAAGGCATGAACTATCTTTGCTCACTCTAATGCTGGGATCATGGGTTCAAATCCCACTCAATGCATGGATGTTTGTGTGTGCATTTATTACGTGTTTGTGTCATCCTGTGTGTAGGTGCCTTGCGATGGGCTGATCACTTGCCCAACGAGTCTAACCATTTGTATAAGAAAGATTATGAAACTGAAGAAGAGGCCAGGGCCCAACAAATTCAGCAAATGAATACAAAGATGACATGTTAGAAATCCTGACAAACTATCTCAGTTAAACAGCAACAAACAAAAGAAAACTGGAACTACAGAAAAATTACTTGACATTTCTGAGTACTATGGCAGCTAGGCCAGCATACTTCTTTACATAAAGAACATGTCACAAATTCACTCCCACAAACACTGCAAGATGAGCACTAAAAATATTGAACAAATTCTCATAGCTTATTTTCCTATATACTTGGTTTATTTAATGATGTTTTCAGTAGCTCAGATTATAGTGTTAAATGCTAGGATGATTAGTGAATACTGAACTGGACAGAATGTCAAAAGTGGTGATGACTTAATTTGAGGAACTCTCCTAGCATTTTCCTGGAGGGAGTAAAAAAAAACACAAAATTCTATCAGGATATCCTATCAAGTCCACCAGTTAAGCTGAAAGCTGTACTACTATATAGAATAAGCTCTGCCATGTATACCGGTGCAAAATTGACAGTTGGTACAGATGAGTAGGCATAAAAAGTTCTGTCTACTAAACGTTATCCCAAGTTTTAGTTCAAATCCATCATTATCCATAGAAACACTAGACAATGAACTCCAGGTTGAACAGTTCACACACTATTCACATAAGTGTAGATTTGCTTGACCACATAATACAGGCAGAAAACCTACAGGATTTGAATACAGTGGAAAGCCTGTTTAAATGTTCCTTGATTTAAGGTTTTCCCTCATTTAACACTGACTTTCAATGATCCCACATCAGTAATCTCAATTTCATATTTCTTTCATTTAAGATTTTCTTCACTTCAGTCATTCCACACCAAATCAAAACAGAAGAGAGACATTTACAACCCATTAACCTCAGAAATGAATGATTTTTGGTAATTTTATTCCCAGTGGAGATAAATATTCTTGCCAAATGTTATTGTTTTATAATCGCTAGAATTTTCCTGAGTTTGCAGAAGCGTGTTTCTTATGCACAAGTTTTCTTAGAAAAGTGGCACGACTTCTGCCCTAATTGAGTCAGAGCCCATTTTATGTTCATTTCAGAGCTAATAAACTGCCCTTTAGTGTGACATATTGCACCTGTATATTCAGCACAGTAATATTAGTGAAGGCTTAGAGTTTGACCTTTGACCTTGTTGCTTAAAATGTTTTTTTAGGTTTGTACCAAAAAATAAACTAAAATATGGTATAAAATGGGCTGTCTCAATTTTTTTGGCATGAGTCATCATATAAAAAGCATCATGACATGATTTTGAAAGCTTTGGCTGTCCAAAATCTAGTGGCTATAAAGGAGTAAGATTTTGCATGAATACTGACCTCCATTTGGGCTACTCTCACAAAAAAATATTGTGACATGTTGCACAATGGAGGACAACCCCTCCCACCCCAGCAGTACGTGGCGGCATCGCAACGCTGTCGTTACTATGGTAATAGACAAGTCAACACCCCACCCTTCTCCTCGCGGTGACGTAACATGGTGTCAGGCAACAGCGGTACCCATTACAGAACTACACTGTCCACGAAGCCAGTTAAATCATAGCCGCCACCAAAGACAGTTAGTTACAAGTTCTCAAGACAGCAGCCTACGATTTGAGTTGGAATCTAGCCAGCGGAGAGGTACGAGTTGAATTGAATTGAATTGAATTGTGGTAGTCACCGAGTTTAGCTGTAACGAGTGAATCGTGACAGTGTGAAGAAATTTGCGAATAGGGTTATAAAGTGTGAAACCCTGCAACAGGTTGTAATTAATTGTAGCAGATACTTGTAGGTTGTTAAATAAACCAGTTAACAATCTGAACAGTGTCTTCAGTAACGAAACACGTTACAATATTGAATTCTCAGGGGGGTGAGTGTATGATCTGTATTGTTTTGACACAGAATTGATGCTTTAGTGTTCAATATCTCCTGCTCTTGCAAGAAACCTTGAATGGGAATTTCCCTGTGTTTTGGGAGGGGGGAGGAGGAGGAATAAATTAAATATTAGAATGGCTAGTGAAACAACACAGTAATTTGTGAAGAGCTTTATTAAGTGGTCAAATGCCTCAAAGAGAGAGAGATACATCCCATAGCAAAGAATTAGTAATTCTGTTTCTTCTATGATCTCAAGATTAAGTGGATATGTCCATTGATTCAGCTGGCTCAATTGTGCGTACTGACACCTCTTCAATATCTATAGGCACAGTCTTGCTGGTTAATATGGCTGTAGTACCTCTCTTGTAATGGTATGATGCTTGCCTGAAATACAAATTTAAGAAATTACAATGTTTCTGTCCCTTAATGTCTGGCCATTCTGTTTCCAAGCTGCTGGTATGATGAATGCAGAGTTCAAATGTAGCAACATCACGATTACAGCAACTGTTCTGAGTGGCAGTCACTGTGTAACTACTCCATATGATAAGTCATTTGCACAGTCAACAAACAAGGGATTAATGCCATCAACCATGTCATAACATATGTCCATGATTTTTATTTTACAAGTAGGTATCCATGAAGTAAAAGTTTTCCCAAACTTTCAGTATAATTAATAATCATTAAGGAAATTATGCACAATTTTTAATGCAGTGTGCCTTCTGTCCACAAATATGTAAATATCTCTATTATTTAAAAAGTTATATATATATATGTGTGTGTGTGTGTGTGTGTGTGTGTGTGTGTGTGTGTGTGTGTGTGTGTGTGTGTGTGTGTGTGTGTGTGTGTGTGTGTGTGTGTGTGTGTGTGTGTGTGTGTGTGTGTGTGTGTGTGTGTGTGTGTGTGTGTGTGTGTGTGTGTGTGTGTGTGTGTGTGTGTGTGTGTGTGTGTGTGTGTGTGTGTGTGTGTGTGTGTGTGTGTGTGTGTGTGTGTGTGTGTGTGTGTGTGTGTGTGTGTGTGTGTGTGTGTGTGTGTGTGTGTGTGTGTGTGTGTGTGTGTGTGTGTGTGTGTGTGTGTGTGTGTGTGTGTGTGTGTGTGTGTGTGTGTGTGTGTGTGTGTGTGTGTGTGTGTGTGTGTGTGTGTGTGTGTGTGTGTGTGTGTGTGTGTGTGTGTGTGTGTGTGTGTGTGTGTGTGTGTGTGTGTGTGTGTGTGTGTGTGTGTGTGTGTGTGTGTGTGTGTGTGTGTGTGTGTGTGTGTGTGTGTGTGTGTGTGTGTGTGTGTGTGTGTGTGTGTGTGTGTGTGTGTGTGTGTGTGTGTGTGTGTGTGTGTGTGTGTGTGTGTGTGTGTGTGTGTGTGTGTGTGTGTGTGTGTGTGTGTGTGTGTGTGTGTGTGTGTGTGTGTGTGTGTGTGTGTGTGTGTGTGTGTGTGTGTGTGTGTGTGTGTGTGTGTGTGTGTGTGTGTGTGTGTGTGTGTGTGTGTGTGTGTGTGTGTGTGTGTGTGTGTGTGTGTGTGTGTGTGTGTGTGTGTGTGTGTGTGTGTGTGTGTGTGTGTGTGTGTGTGTGTGTGTGTGTGTGTGTGTGTGTGTGTGTGTGTGTGTGTGTGTGTGTGTGTGTGTGTGTGTGTGTGTGTGTGTGTGTGTGTGTGTGTAATTTTGTGTCCAGCAGTAGGTCTTGTCAAGGAATCTATTGATCCAAAATTCATATAGTTAGTGCCTCGTAAATTTAGCCACGCGGAAAGGTAAACACTGTTGTGGAGCACGCAAAGCTGTATGCTTGCTGTGGTGACGTTCACAGCTACTCCCCGAGCAGAAAACATTCTCTATGGAGACCAACTAACAAGCAACACAACATACTATACACGTGACCACACTCCAAGACGCTACATTCCAAACTGGTGGTACCCACGCTGATATAAGCTGATAAGAATGTCCCCCCAGCTCCACGAGAGATGGTATGACCCCTCTACCACAGCTAGAGTTCCGAGGAACTAACAGTACAGGTATCTGCAAGAGTTTGGCAGTTGCAACATTTGTACAAGTCTTATCTAAAAGAATTAAAAATAAAACCAATGTCTGCCTACATCTAGGAAGCTGTAACATTTACCCATCACAAATAAATGTAGTCCACTGGATTCAAGTTTACAAGGGACCAAGAAATACAAATTTTTTAAGGAGGAAAAGGCCTATAATTAATTATATCCCTTGTAAGAAATTAGTGAGATAAATTTTTATGATAAATGAATAAAACACACTAAATCAGAGTTTTTTTCCATATATATATACATTACATGTACACAAATAATCTTCATGATATATTTTACACACGTTTCAGACATGAATTTTTAAATAAAAAGGTGCATAATTTTGAACGTATGATACATTAATCAGACTAAAATTCCAGTGTCTGCATTTTAGCATCATCTAACTTTCCACTTTAAGTCGGTCCCTTCCCAGTACAGCATCAGACATTCTTGTGTTAGAGCCAGAGTAGATGGGTTACATATACTGACAATGCCTGATAATACTCATAGTTAGAAAAAGATGTAGACAGCTGAGAAGGTGTGGCCTTCCACACTGGAGACTGTGGGTCAGACTAACAATCCTCCCCTTATTTCTTTAATAAGCCGCAGCCTGTTTGTATGAATATGACACGAATTTCAATGTGTATATCTGTCGCAAAAGAATAAATATAATAATAATTTACTTCATTAATACTTAACCACTGCATGTTTCAATTTTACAATAATCATTGGGTATATAATCAATAACACACTACAATTACAAACATTACAACTATCTACAGTGTCTAACAGATGTTACCTATGTTGCATCTGTCAGCAAATTTACAATGTTGAAAAAATATAATTGTGTAAACAGATGACAGTTAAGAAAAGCAGATTATCTTAAGGTGGTAGTAAATGTAGTGTGACATAATAAAGACTTAAAATACTCCAAAATTCTGTGTGTAATCAATTTTTAATAAGTTATTTAATGGCGCTATCACTATTGAGAGTGTGATGATAGGATGTCTGATGAATTGGAAAGAAGTGCATGTTGCCTGATTGATGTACTATCCAAGCATTTTCTTGGAGGGACTGAGGAACACACAGAACACCTGACAGGAGTTTGTTTCCTGGTCCATTTCTCAGCTGAGTACCACATACAGGTCTAATGTTACCCCTAAACCAACCTGTTTGGCCTGTATATGGGATAGATATTTTTATTGCATGTTGAAGCAGGTATTCATTAAAAGTATGAACTTTGACTTCTCATCACGCTTAAAAAAACTTTCAATGGTCTCATGAATACTTATGACAAATTTCTATTCTATATACAAAATGTGGAGCATTTTTAATAATTTTACATCTTTATAATTACCACCACACCATATCTACTGCTGCCTACTTCTGCTTTTCTTATTTAACTGTTGCCTATTTATAAGCTTATAGTTTTTGTTTTCAAAATACAACTGGTGATGTATCACTCACCAGTTAACATCTATTAGCTACTGCAAATACTCATAATCTCTGTAACTGGTCTGTTTTCCTGATTTTTTCATAAAACCAAACATTTGCAGTAATATTAGTGAAGTAAATTAATAATACTGTATTTGTTTTTGTGCAACAGATATAGGTTGGTTCTCTACAATCTTTCATCCATGACAAAACATTCTGCTTCCACAATCTACGTCAAACAACCGCACAGTGTAGAACCCACTGTACACACCGAACATGTATACAGGGTGTTTCACGACTTTAGGGCATAACTGCAGGAGGTGATTTTCTAGGTCTTTGTGATCAAAAAAGTTCATATAAAGATGTGTCCAATTATGGACAGTAATCGTTGCTTTCTATTCTGAGTTTAAAACGGTCATAACTTCGTAATCGTCCAAAATCGGACACATGTTTATGTGAACTTTTTTGATCACAAAGACCTAGGAAATCGCCTCCTGCAGTTAGGCCCTAAAGTCGTGAAACACCCTGTATACCCAGAAATGAAACATATGCCACATTACACGTTTCATATATATGATACATAGTGTGGGAATACCATACCAAATACCCACATACCACCAAATTTGCACATCATTGAAAAACGTACCGGGCTTATTACATAGAATCTTGGCAACAAGATCTACGCAACATACATGCCCAATTTCTACATTGTACCATGATATACCCTTAAAATAAAATATTTTAGTTGGCATACAGACATATATTTTTAATACCTTTTAATATACTTTATATACTTCTAATATACGTTTAATATTTTTTAATATCTCAACATTTTATATAATAGTATACCCTTAATTGTTTCTATCTTTTTATTTTTAATCATGTATTTGCTATTTTAACTATACTCCAATCTGAGGCAAAGTTTTTATGTTAATATTCAATACGACGCGTTGCACCGATAAGGATCCGTATTGGTATTTCAATAACTATACATATTCCTGCCTGATGATGGTCATGTATGACCGAAACATGTTGCAGTAATAAACATCTAATGTAATAACTGAAATATTTGTTGTGCTGACAATAGCATAGTTCCTACATATTATATATCATATGCTTCCACAAGCTTAAGACAAAGCCCCTGAAGTTGTACAATTACTAATCTATAATTCTGCTAGTTTCTCTGTATAGATGGAAGCACAGACAGAAAATAAGCAACATAATTCTTCCTGGTATGCATTTTACTCAACACATATTCAGATTTCAGGGGTACTGTCAGTTCACAGAATGGTCAGACATTGGTAAGAACCTCCTGAGATGGATGAGTTGAGATCAATACTCATTCGCATGACGACCATGCACCCATTAATAAAAACTAACCTCTTTCCCTTGATATTTGCTTCATCAAAAGGCCGGAGGTAATCCACAGAGCCTTTACGGATAACACAGATGTCCACATTGCTGCCTGATCCAAGATCATTGAAGATACCTGCTGCAACAGCATTCCTAACCAGCTGTTTACCCTCCTCCTCCTGTAATTAATACAGCTGAGCAGTTCCAACACTTGCATTACCAAAGATAAAGACTAGTAAGTCTGAAGTAGATGGTAAATCATACTCTCTTGACAGAAATTGCCGTACCATGTTGGAACCTTATAAAGGCAGTTACAAAATTTACCTAGGATTACTTTTGTTGGGGGCTAAGTGTCTGTAACAAACACAACAGAAACTGCATTTAATTACATACATATTCCCTCGTCAACTTTACTGTTAACATCCCTTAACTGTTCCCTATATCAATGAACTTTTTCTTTTCTAACATTTATTTTCTTTGCAAGAAATACATCTGTTTTCTGTGTTGTCCTAGTCATTTTGGTGAGGTAGGGTTTAGACCTCAAGAGTCTGACAGATTAGTTAAACACAATACAATAAAGATGTTAGCATCTGTTGTGTCTGTAACAAACACAACAGAAACTGCATTTAATTACATACATATTCCCTCGTCAACTTTACTGTTAACATCCCTTAACTGTTCCCTATATCAATGAACTTTTTCTTTTCTAACATTTATTTTCTTTGCAAGAAATACATCTGTTTTCTGTGTTGTCCTAGTCATTTTGGTGAGGTAGGGTTTAGACCTCAAGAGTCTGACAGATTAGTTAAACACAATACAATAAAGATGTTAGCATTTCCTGAGCATTTAATTTAGTATCAAAATAGTAAAATTCCTGTCATGTTTCATTTGCTTATCACTTCAGCTTAAATGGAACAGTGGGCACTGCAGAACACCTTTTACCTATCTCCATAAAGGAGAATTCTTGAAAAGCTAGTAATTGCTCAACTAGTCGATAAATTCCTCACCTATCATGGAACCCAAAGGTTCAGTACCATGTTTACCCTACTCTCTTTACCTACAAATGACAAAAAGTGACTGAGGATTTACATTCATATTTGGCTTCCACCTGGACTCGAACACAGCCATTGCAGCAAGAGAACCAGAGCCCATAGTGGTATAGGGCAGTTTATCAGATGATCCATGTGGGTAGATACAGTACAGATGTGGACCAGTGTTGTCAACTCCACCCAGGACAAGAGCAGCTCCTATGTAGCCCTAAAGCAAACAAAGTAACTGAAAAAAAACATGCTAGTAATAGAATATCTACTGAAATAGTCTCCTCATTTATACATAATTTTTATGTGTGATCTTTAACCTTTTCTCTTGGTACGTGGTAGGATTTTGTGTCATGATTCATGGCAATAACACATGTGGTCTACAAATCTTGAGACCTTAGATGGGGAAAAGGCCTTCACTAAACATCTGCCAGTTGGGGACCATTTTCACATTTGCAAGACAAATCCTATAGCAGTTTTGAAGTCATCTCAATCTCAAAAGAGCCCTTTTAAATTTTTCAAAGGACCAAGAATTATAGACTTCTCAAGCAGGTTGTCTTAAAAATGCAGGCTTCAAAATACTTGCAAAAATATTATATCCTTTGTAGAAATGTAATGGGATAAACATACTTTTACACCAAATAAATTGCCAAAACCACTCTAAATACACAACCATTCAATACACCAATGTTCCTATTTTAGCTATAGAATCTTTGAGCAGTAGTTCATATCTCCTACACTTGCACTAACTGTTAACTTGTCCTTGTACTCAGATTCATTCAATGCCAAAGTGTAATTTTCTTTGTCTGCCTGTAGAATCCTAATATCTTTGCTGAGTTTCAAAGACTGCGGCTTTCAACACCTTTCTAGCCATGTTTGGGCCATGACTTCAACTTCTCCAACAAACATCTAATCTTCCATCTGGCACAGCATGCCTCTGAAGAATGTCAGAGGACAGGCTAGGATTATGCTGGAATTTTGGAAACTGAAAGTACTGGCAGGTGTAGGGAATACAAGGAATCTACCTATATGGCATGTATAATGAATCCAAACAACCAATCCAGTTTCAAAATTCCTTATGGATTCCCCTTATCATCAAGGAGGTTGGCAACTTAGGGACCTGACAGCCTCTTCATGGGTATCTATGATTTCTGTACTGTGATTCTATATCAATTCCACAGATGGTGCTAGTGGCAGGCAAATACTGTATAGCAGTAAAACTTTGATTTTCCTCTGTATTGGTGCTTCTGTATTTAGTTGGTGGTTCAGTTTGATGTACTTATTTTAATTTCCTTTTCCATCTTAGTTTAATGACTTCATATATATTTCCACACAACTTAATATAAAGTTTTCTTTATCTTCCACTGAAGAACCTGATGTAGTTAAACTTGCTCCCATGGGACCTGACACCAAGAACGGTTGTTGGCATGGGTCAGTATCAATTTATCCAACCAACCGACTCAACATGTCCAGTAACTGAGCCTAGGTCTTTCTCCTGGATCCAACAGAGTAGGTGCCTTGCACCCTTCACATGAAGATTGTAACATCCAGTTTCTGAAATATGTTCTGCAGAATACTGGAGGATGGACTCATCATTGATGTGATACCTTCCCCTCTAGAAAGATGACTGTAAGTCCTAATCTAGATCTTCCAAGCAGTCCCTCCCTTTGAGCTTTATGAACAAAACTTCTCTCCCATACATACAAGACCTGCTCAACCCATCTACCCTAACTTAATTACCCTAATAATGTTTGGCACTGAGTACAAATTATGAAGCTCTTCATCATGCAACTTCCTCTAGCCATGACTTCCTTTCTCTTGGGTCCAAATATTCTCAGCAAACTGTTCCCTTAACCCTTCAATGATGCAGGACATTTAATTCCTGCTCACTCCTTGGGACGGAGGGTATTTGAAACGGTAAATGCAACATTTCACTTAAAGTGTAATAAATGGGAAAAACTGGAGTTTTGGTTTTCTAATTTTCGCACGAAGTTAAGAAATGTATATAGAATCAGTGTATTGATCCACAGTGCTTTAAAATTATTTTTCTGACACAGTAAACCTATAAAAATTAGAAATAATAGTATCATATTGCCTTAAAAATTTAGCTGTGTGTGTTAGTCATGAAAACATTCCATACAGGGTCCCGCATCACACCAGTACACAGTTTTTGACACACAATACAGTTTCTGTGGTTTTGATTTCTTCACAGTTGGTGGAATCTTGCTTATAAAATCTCTTTCTCTTAAATTGGGCACTGTTTTGTCTGACGAATGTCGACACAGGACTTTGTGTTCTACAGCATTAGCATATTTCACAGAACTATTAGGCTTATTATATATCATCACCTGGTACATAGAAGACAAAAAACCACGTTTCAGAGACCAGATCCAGTGATTGAGACTAATTCCTTCTAATGGGCCCAACTGAGTAGGTTTATCCTGCCCCATCCACCTGAGGACAGAGACATATCCAGTCTCTGAAACATTGTGGTTTTCTGTCTTCTATATACCAGATGATGGATAGAGTCCAAAATAAGCCTAATAGTTCTGTACAGCATACACCATCGTCAGAATCCTTTCATCTCTATATTCACAGAGTCCATCAATTAACTGAATTCTGATTGACAACTGATCTATTCTTTTCCTTGTGTTATTCCTGCATATTAACATCACATTCAGAAATTTTCTTTTGTCCTTATAGTTTTGCATATTCTCCCAATGGATGTTTGTGCATTCCTCGATTCTGTCATTTACCACAGAATCGAGAAAAGCACAAACATCCATTTTCAGTGTCTAATTCCGAATCTGATAAAACTTTGTTCCAATTCGGTTTGAAGTAAATATATTCTCCACACAACACAGTTGGCCACTCAATTCCTCGCGACTGGCCTCGGCTAACCAGACTGCATGATGCGTATTTATAGAACAAAGGGGAATTACAGTAGTTATCATTCATATAGTGAACTGTTTATCGTTTGCTATATATCAGTCATAACACACTTCCTAAAGTCAACATCACATCTCAAAGTCACAGATTCTCCATGTGTCTTCTCGTGGTTATAAATTCCAATCTAGAAGCAGCACTGGTCAGAATATGCCTCAAGAGAATCGAGTTTTCATTTGATCAGTATGCAAGACAACACACAGTATCAATCTAACATATTTAGTTCGTAAGAATTCCCCAAGGCAGATGTAGGTTTGTATGGTAACAAGCACACCAAGTGTTGAAGTAGAAAACTTTTTCAAAGAATTCAATGTATTACAAGTCCCGAAGGAATTTCAAAGGGGGACAACGAATATACGAAATGATAGCCTCAAATTTCCCCTTTAATTTCATACCAAAAGAATTACTGTACATGAAAAACAACAAAATATGAGATGAAACTTAGCGCTGCACTAGGCGTACCACGTACGAACTTCAGAGACGTGTAACAGAAGCTGCTGGCGTGCCATGCACGGAGTACAGCACTGAAGGGTTAATGTGAGTGACCAAATTTCACGCCCATACAAAACAACAGGCAAGATTATGGTTCTGTTTATTAAATAATGTTTGCTAGTTTGTTTTTTTACTTAACACACTACTGCTACTTATATCATGTAATGTCACATGGAAACTAATATAGTCAACGTATAGAAATACGTCTCCCTTACCTGATAACGGAACAACATCTGCATTAGCATTTTGTTTGCAGTAACAACAGGAACAATTCTTCCTGTGTTTAGTCGATGTAGTTCTAATTGAGATGAAATCAGTTGAGTTGTCATCTCTGTATCAGCTGCTGTACCAGCACCACAACAGTATATGTTTTCAGATAAATAATGAATTTTGGAACAGTTCTTATCAGATACAATAGTATCCTCTGTAGCCCTAGTATCAGCTCCAAGGATTACACCATCTTTGTATAATATTCCGACGATTGTTGTCCCTGTCTTCACCGCTCTGGGTGCAGGAAATCCCTTACTTGCAAGAAAGGCATTCCTACAACACGAAATTAATATATATTAATACGTATGGGTACATCCAACTTTATTTTAGACATGTCATGGGGCATAGCTTCCACTCAGTTTCGTAAACTACAAAACTGTCTACAAATTTGAAGTCCATCAGGAGAGGGGTGAACATGAATTTCATACTCCCTCTTGGAAAACATGGTATATTACTCCAACTTGTCCTACACCCCGCTATCAAGGATCCATTTATATACCAACAATACTGGATTGTCAACCACTAATTGCAGCAATGACAATGCATGTTCGTTTTTTAATAATATTTGCTGCTCCTATACCAAAATTAATATAACACTATTAAGCAACGCACTACACTCGTGAAAATCACTATACACAAGTATTCAGAATTAAGTGAGTGTCCTATTACCTTTGGCAATTTTCAAATGAAAACCCAGGCACATCATTCTCCCTCAATAACACAGACGCCATGATTAAGTGACGTCATTTGATACTTAGCACGGATAACTAAATCCGTAACACCACCGAATACGGATTACTAACAACTGAAACAGGTAGCCATGGTTAACCTAAGAAAAATGAGGATTTTTCTTTTTTGTGAGTTGCAATCTGTATTCCCACCAAAGCGGACAAATTACACTGTAAAATGAGACATCGGCCAAACAATTAATGTCAAACAATACCACATCCATACCACGGACCTCAAAGCAGATTACTTTACGTACACAAGTCTTGAATATACCACTATATATCCGCTGGAATATAACAAGATTGCAAAAACTGAAATCATAATATGAAATATTATTAACCATATTTTATTACATAACTTTCGTCTTATAATAATTTAACAATTCATTGTATTTTTGTACCTTTTATTATTATAGTTGTCAAATATCCAGATCTACTATCACACTGAAATGCAGTTCAGTAGTGTGTGAATGAATAAATGTATGAGGGGTAGGCCTTCTCGACCCTTGCACCGCGACCTACAGTGGTCTATTGTGCTTCCCCTTTTGATTATCCCCTCAGCAATCCCGCGCTTCGAATGAAGTGCAGGATTGTGTACGTGGGGGCGTCGATATAGTCACTTGGTTCTGTCGGGGACATCCCACATAGCACGCTGTTTCCACCGGTCTTTCAGGCAACACTCACTCCGTAGTGAATATCGCATTGCCGGACGCTTCATTCATATTTATCCCACATTAGTGACCCCGACTGAACATGGAAACCGCAGACAGTTCATCAGCAGAAGTGCCCAGAATGGCCGTGCGGCTTCCGCCGTTCTGGCCCGAGAGATCAGTCGTGTGGTTCGCCCAGGCCGAGGCGCAATTCACCTTGGCCGGCATTAACAGCAAGCGGATAAAGTTCTGACACCTCATCTCACAGCTGGACCACCGATACGCCACAGAGGTGGAGGATATCATCACCTCTCAACCCGAACGAGGCCCCTACACCCTACTGAGGACCGAGCTTGTGAGGCGGCTATCCTCATTGCCAGAGCAGCGCATCCGGCAACTCCGCACGGTCGAGGAAATTGGCGACCGTAAGCCGTCCCAATTCCTGACGTACCTCAAAAGTCTCGCACCAGACGTGTCTGATAACGTCATCCGAAGCGTCTGGACCAGCCGGCGGCCCCGAAATTTACAGAGCTTCCTCGCCGGCCAGGACAAGAGCAACTTGGAGGCCGCAGCCCTCTGTGAGGACCGCATCTCCGAGGTCGAAGTCCATCCAGCGCTCGCTAGCGTTGATGAACCCACGGACATCGGCGCACTTCGGCAAGAGATCGCTGAACTCTCCCCGCCAAGTGGCTGAACTCAGCACCGAACAGGACTCCCTCCACCCCTGCTTCGGGGAGTCCGACAACAAACAGAGACAGAGGCTCCAGTCCCAAGGGTATCCGCCCCGCCTTCAACAACCGCCGGCCCGGCAGCAGATCCCCCTCCCTGGGCGACACCACATCCGGTATCTGCTGGTACCACCGCCGCTTCGGCGCTCGGGCACAAAACTATACTCCGCCCTGCTCCTACCGCCAGCAGGGAAACTGACGCAGAAGACATCATCGGTGGCACATGTCTGCGCTACGACAACAGGCCGCCTCTTCATAACGGACAGAGTCAGCAAACGGCAGTTCCTAGTCGACACGGGTTCGGACCTCTGTGTATACCCCAACAGGCTCGTCCATCGACGCATGGAACGTACCAACTATGACCTGTGTGCGGCTAATGGCACTACCATCCACACATACGGATGGCTGCCTCTCAGCCTCAAATTGAGCCTACACCGAGATTTTGCGTGGCGCTTCGTGGTGGCCGACATCACGCATCCTATCATCGGCGTGGACTTCCTGTCTCATTTCGGTCTCCTGGTAGACTGTGGGAACAACCGCATCCTGGACGGGATCACGACGGTCAATTCCGGCCTCAGCGGCCTACGCACTGATCCCCAGTGTAAAGAAAATCAGCAGCAACACACCGACCGACAGCCTCCTCACAGAGTTCCCGGACTTAACCCGCCCAGCTGGAGTCCAGCGCGAGATACGACACAACACCCTCCACCACATCAGGACTGTAACTGGCTCACCAGTAACCTGCCGACCACGGCGACTGGCACAGGACCGACTCGCTATCGCAAAAGCCGGGTTTGACGCCATGTTGGGGGCATTGGTACAGCTCGTCGTTCAGAGAGTTCATGGTCCTCGCCACTACACATTATGCCCAAGAAAGACAACGGTTGGCGTCGATGCGGCGACTACAGATCGTTCAACTCCCGAACCATTCCTGACTGCTACCCTGTCTGTCATATCCACGACTACTCCCACCAGCTTTTCGGCTGTTCCGTCTTTTCCAAAATTGACCTGGAGAGAGCTTATAACCAAATTCCCGTCAACCGCGGCGACATCCAGCAGACGGTAATTACCACTCCTTTCGGCCTGCTCGAGTTCCCCTTCGTGTCCTTCAACTTGCGCAATGCCGCCCAAACCTTCCAACGGTTTATGGACAACATTATGCGGGGACTCAACTTCTGTTTCACGTACCTGGACGATATCCTCGTATTCTCCAGGTCACCAGAGGAGCACGAGGTTCATCTGCGGGAACTCTTCCAGCAACCACAGAAACACGGGATCATAATCAACCCGGCGAAGTGCGTCTTCCGAGCACCCGAGGTCACCTTCCTCGGCTACAAGGTGTCCGCCATGGGGTCCCAACCTCTCGCAGAGCGAGTGAATCATTTTCAGGACTGCCAAACACCAAAGACCGCCAGCCAGCTCCGTCGCTTCCTGAGCATGGTTAACTTCTACCTGCGATTTACCGATCTGTTTCTTGAGAGGGACGCATAGGTGGCAGCACATGAAGCATGGAGCTACGGAACCCACTGATGTAGATGCTACAGTTACGCGTCTACAGTTGTGTGTAGTCAGTGCACCTGTTGTTCAACTGTTTTTAACGGTCATTCCTGGTCAGGCGTTTCGAAGAGTTCGAAGTGTTGGAAGTGTGGAGGAGATAGTATTGGTTTGGAATTGTTTGTGTTTTATTAAGAAACGTGTAATTTAATACTATTTTTCTAAAAGAAGGAATTTAATTAGATATAAACTGTATCAATTAAAATGGGGATGTTGTGTAGTAAATGTAAGACGCCAAGGAGTAGGGTTACAGAATACGACAAAGCCCTTCTGGTAAGTTGGAAGTTTTATTATTATGGTATAATGTTTGTACAGTAACAGTAGTGATGTGTGAATCACCTTGAGTTTGAATTTTTTTATTCGTGTCTTAATTTTCTGCTCATAAGTGCATTTTATAGAAGTAAATTGGATTACATTATGGTTTGTTCGTATGTTTAATTTTAGCAACGAAAGCAGCAGAGAGATAATATAAAAAAGTATCAGAAGAAAATAGAAGAAAATCTGCAAAACGATAGACAGCTTGCACGGAAACTTCTGAAAGATGGACAGAGAGAGTAAGTTTCTACTTACATATTTATAAGTGCTACTATGTCTGGTAGATGTACTATAATTTTAAATGTCCGAATTACCCAAGAAGTTATTATTAAAGTACTGCTGAATATTTACATTATCTTGTATTGGTGTTTGCTTCTTACTTTTAGCGGGTATTTTTTATATGATGGCTAGATTCTGTGCCTTGTGTGGGTGAAATACTGAACAGATTTTGTAGCGAGCAGCAGAGTGAAGTGGACATATGGGTAGAATTTGAGTAGCAGGAAGCAAAATTTGAAAATAAAGGTGATGAACAGATATCGTCATCATCATCATCATCACTGGCAAGAGCCATAGACTTCCTTAAAGATTCTGCCAGATTTGATCTGATTTTCACTTCTTTTGGTTTCGTAGCAGTAATTTTTTTTTTACAGACCGAGGTTGTCAGCCTTGCATCTAACCACCCATCCAGGAGGACAGGGTTCCCTTTTTATTGCTTTCCACAGCTAGGCAGGACTATGGTGGAGGCATTCTCGCCTGCCTCCACATGGGGAGATAAACAGAGATAGAAGCCAAAAATATTACTTAGAAATATTTCAGTCTGGTAATACTCAAAATATGGTCAATATGTGTCATTAAAGTGATCAGTTATGTGCTGTGCAGCTGGGGCTTGCCCAATCTATCAAATGAGTATAGTAGGGTTTTTGACAGTGGGTAGATTGAAGCTGACAACTTACTATATAAAGCCAAAGTTAATGATATGTGGAGCTTACCTCCATGCCTCTGTGTGCCTTCATAGAATTATGTTTAGGGACAGACATAACTTCTTTTAAATTTGTCTAATGGACGACATTTTGAATATGTCGCAAGTATATGGGGAAGTTGCCATTGTAGTTTTTTGTAGAGTAATTTTAGCATTGTAACAGTGTGTTAACAGCCTTATTTGTTTGTTTGTCTATATCAGCCATGCGAAGATCGTGCTGAGGAGAACAAAATGGCAAGAGCAAATTCTTCAAAAGACTGAATGCCGGCTGAATACCTTGGAGCGGCTCTTGACAAATATGGAACTCTCGCAGATTATATGCAGTTAAGGTTTTGTCGTTCCAATAAAAGGAACTGATGTACATAGGTTACATGCAGGGAAGGGTCTGCATTTTATTTTAGAGTTGTATATATTGTGTTATTTTTCATCACCATATCTTTTTTTAACTAAGTTTGGTCTAAAGAGAACCCATATTTTCTCTCTTTATGTGATGTGGAAGTCACTGGGACACAGTAGCACGGTTGAGTCACCGTGCTACAAGCTGGAAAGTCATGGGATTTATCCCGGTGAGGTCATAGGATCTTTTAATTGACCTAGTCCTTCCAGCTGCATTATGGCTTTGGTGTCGACCCAGCCCTTTAACAGAAATGAGTACCAGGAATCTTCCTGGGAGTAAAGAGTGGCCAGCGCGTACGGCTGACAACCTTTCTGCCATCTGTGAGCCGATTGTCTATAAAACGTGGGAGCCTTGATGTCTGGGAACCCTTTGGGCCTTTGTGGCCTGTTACAGAGATAGCTTTAGCTTTTCTTTACCTATGGGGAAGTGATTCAACTTTTGAGTCACTTCTAAATGAGGCCTTGATGTAGAGCAAAGTTTAAATGAATCCGAATTATGAACCCCTAATAACAAAATGTATTTATTATAATGACGTATATTTTTGAGATGTTTTAGATGAAGCTTTGAAGAAAATTCTGGAAGAAACATGAGAAGACATATATAGTTTCACAGAGTGATTTGTTACAGAGAAAATTATCAAATCAGGATATCAGTCAAAGTAATGATATTTTAAAATTTTATAGAACTCCTAAAGTAACGTGAATGGTAATGTAGCCCTTGTGTGTGTATATGACACTGGTAAAATACATGCTTTCAGTTGTTAACCTTGGCACTAGGTGGTGAATGTCAGCTTCATGCTTTCATCACTTTATCTGTGGGCATTTGCTTACATATTTACTTTAAGCTGTTTAGTTTGAATATTTTTTATATATTACTCTAGAGGTGTGGGGGTCTGCGGTGACACAAAGACTGTGACACATTTAAAAATGATCATAATTTTTTGTGTTAATATTTGGAATGTTTTACCTATTTCCTCTCCCCCCACCCTTTAATTTCTTGTTTCTTTTCCCAAATATCTGCGGGAGAGAGCAGATGTCGGAATTCATATTCAGAGAATGGTAGTTACCAGTCTCGGCCCATGCGCTGTGTATTGCAGTTGGGGTGTTTCATCATTGTGCTCCTGACAAATATTTGGACATTTTCGTGAAGTTGGCCAAGACCACTACTTTTCAGTTCATCATTCACAGTTTTCCTATCATTCAGCACTGTATAACTGACACAGCTGAAGAATTGTCATGAAATGAACCAAGACTTACATGTACCTGAAGTTTAAATTACTATGATTGTGTGTTTCACCGACTTGAGACCGGGATACTCATTCTTATTTTAAAGGATCATCAGTGCACCTTACATGACAGTTCTTATCCATGAATGCGAACATTTTCTGTTCAACAGAAGAGCATCACAGAAAGTTGTAGTGAATAGGCTGCAGGCTGAATGACCAGAGAATCATTGCTTAAAGCTGTTATTTTTTTTTTTTGTCGTCACAGTTTTGACAACCACAAAGTTTCAGAAATTGATTCTGTTTCCTTCTTCAGGTGAGAAACGTTACTCTCAAAGCATGGATTAGCTCTACCAAGGGATCCAGCAGAGCTGATTCCTTTATCTGAATACACAAGCATAAGAAATTTCTGAAATGTAGTTGTTT